TATTCTTCACGAGTCCCAGATATTTTTTTAGGTTATTGGAAGAGATCATTGCTGCAACGTCACTTTGACGTTGCGATAGACAAAGAGACACTCAAAGGAACTGTTATTTTAATATTGCGGGTACATGTCATGCATTTGGTGCTTCACAATAAATGCTGTTCCACCGAAAAGCTCATTCTCCGTTTGATTGAAATTTAATCACAATGACCGATAATATCTCGTCCATTTACCTCCAAGGAAAACACCAGGGGTGTTCTCTCACTCAAGCATGTATACATCCACCATCCGCTCATCGGAGGGAATGGGAAATACGAGATGCTCAAACGCTGGCACCATTCGCTCCACACATGTGTTACTAATTACCAACGCTCCGTTTCTGTATCACAACCTCGGGTCCCTTGCCATCGCCCAACACATGCCGGATGGTTCACGAGCGCTCCACAAAGTACATTTTAATACTTGTGTGAAATGCAAACACCCCGGAGATAAAAAGAAATCATCATTTGCACAATCTCAAATGATTTCAGAGTTTAAAAATTTGAGAAATTCCCCCGACAAAATTTGAATGCACGCAATTGGAAGGCAATTTTCCACCACCGAAAGCCCCTCTTTTTTCTATCATAAACTCGAGTGAAATGAATTTCTTTTATGTAGGGAAAATGTGCGAGGGATAATTAAAGTGAAAATTAGCTGAGCGAGGATTTTTATTAAATCATTTCTTTTTTCTGGTGCGTTGAAAATAATTCTGATGGACAAATTTAATTACTGCATTTTCGTAAAGTTTGGATAATGGATAATGTCATGCCTCTGGAGGGCTTTTTTCCACTCTTTAACGACGTTATAGATAAGTATTTTATGAGCATTATGCGTTGTATTAGAGTTCATCGACTTTACTCGCTCACGAGAGGTTTGTTAGAACCTACAGTGTACTTCCTTCAAAAGCTTTTCTGTTTTAGTCAGTGGCTTGAGCTTTTAACGATGCATTTTCTCAGGTTTTAATCAAATTTTATGAGACGCCGGGTGTATGTTGTACATCAAAGAGTTTTTTTTATTAAGTTTAATCACTAGATGAGTCTCGGGAAAAATTAGATGACGAAGTTTTGAAAAGGGATTTCCGGTTGAAACCCATTTTGACCTGCATATTTGATCGCCTGACGATAGTATAAAGTATGCGCCGTGGCTAGTCGCACTACCACATGCAGCGTGCCACACGCTGCGTGTCACACGCTGCGTGTGAGACAAAGAAATTCCTATATGGGTCGGTCAGTACTACAGCACGCAGCGTGTCGCACGCAGAAATACAGTGCAGGATGATTGGTTGACACGTTGCCTATTGTAATACTGACCGACCCTTATATGAATTTCTGCGTGTTGTAGTGCTGGCCGACCCATATATTAATTTCTGCGTGTGACACGCTGCGTGCGGTAGTGCGAATAGCCACGGCGCAAAGTATAACGCATGCTTGACAATTGTATGAAGCATTACACAAGCGAACAACCAAGTTTGACAAAAATTTAAAGCACCAAATGCATGACATAATCGCAATATCAAAATAACAGTCCCTTTGAGTATCTCTTTGTCTATCACAACGTCAAACTGACCAGTTAATCAGCAATAACACAATATCAGACAGCAGCAACAGACTACAGCACGCAGCGTGTCGCACGCAGAAATACAGTGCAGGATGATTGGTTGACACGTTGCCTATTGTAATACTGGCCGACCCTTAAATGAATTTCTGCGTGTTGTAGTGCTGGCCGACCCATATATTAATTTCTGCGTGTGACACGCTGCGTGCGGTAGTGCGAATAGCCACGGCGCAAAGTATAACGCATGCTTGACAATTGTGTGAAGCATTACACAAGCTAACAACCAAGTTTGAGAAAAATTTAAAGCACCAAATGCATGACATAACCGCAATATCAAAATAACAGTCCCTTTGAGTATCTCTTTGTCTACCACAACGTCAAACTAACCAATTAATCAGCAATAACACAATATCAGACAGCAGCAACGGACTCTTCCAACGCCCTAAAAAAATATCTGAGACTCGAGAAGAATATTGTTTTTAAACAGGAAAGGATGGTCTAGAATAAAAATATGTTGGATTCGCGGCTCAAAAACAATCGGACAGATCGATTCAAGAGCGTCATCATTCCGTACCAAAACTATCAAATGCTGCGTAATAATTTGAATAGTCAACCCTCCTCTCTTTATTCCCCAGTCACGCCTATGTGTACCACCTCTAGCGAAATAAAATTAAAAACGTCAGTAACCCTTACAACATTACCCAGAAGCCATAAGACCTGAAGAAAAATAAAACCGATGAAACGAGTCCACGGGCATTTATATTTGATCGGAGGTCGTTAACTGCAGGAAGCGCCGGCGCATAAGTTGGGACTTAAAAGTCGCGACGTGACGAGCTCATACAACGCTCTGAAAGAATGAGAAAGTGAGAATTCGACAGAGAGGAGACGACTGATTGACGAGGAAAAAGTGATAAAGTGAGGGGCGAATAAAACTCGCTAGAATCGTACGTCGATTATGACCGATCATATAAACGCGAGTAGGCGAGTGAAGGAAAAAAGAAAAGAAAAAAAAAACGATTGAAACACACCGAGAGATATCTTTCCAGCACTCCGATGAAATGCTGGAGTTGCTCCTTCAATTCTTCCCGAGCTCCAGTGGCAATTATCGGCCATTAAGGGTGAAAAAGGGAGGAATAAAAGTGGATTTCATACAAATTCAGCCGTTCAATTCCATTTTATGAGTTAATTCCACTGTCAGAATCAAAATGGCGAGTGAAAACCGATTTTCATTAGAAAAAAAAATGTTTCCCGAATTTTTTGAAAACCCTTGGGGCAAAACAGATGTTTATTGACGAAACTCATCCCCTGAAAATGACGCGGATGCTTGAATTTCCCAAGACAATTGAGTTTTACCACTTTAATTTTCTTCAATTTTCGGAAAATGTCTTCTCATTTGAGAAACTGTAGGAGCAAATATCGGAAGAGGAGGGTCTCATTCCCGCGAGTAGCATTTGCACTGACTAGAAAAACCCAGTAGCCGAGAGATAACCAAGTAATTAATTTTAATTTACTTTGTAAGATACCGAGCAAGAGAGAGGAGGAGGAGGAGGAGGATGACTGCGAGTGGAAGAGATGCTCATCCCTTTAACTGTCTGTTGGTTCGTGGAACTTTGCCATTTCAACGACTTCACTCCCCTCCCGATGTCCCCCTAATGTCCCTCGTATAATCCCACCTCATCTCCACCCACCACTACTCCGGCGCTTTCCAATCTCTTCCTTGAAAGTGCAACTAAATTGTACTTAGAAGTCGGAGCAAGATTACCGATCAATTCATCGTTGATTAGTTTTGAAAAATGGGGTAGAAAATGACCTCATTGGATATGGAAATTTAATGATGATTTTGGAACAGGTTGACCCGTTTTGCCCTATTATTTTATTTACGATCCCCAAATGGTAATTGCAGACGAAATTACGATGTTGAAAGGGTTTTTCGTCGTAAGCGATAATTTTCAGTTGTTGATAACTTTATATTGGCAGAGTGAAATTGAAAAAGTTTAGAGTCATTTTTAAGTCGTTTTTATAAACTGCAAAAACCTAGAAAGTTATTCAAATCAGGTCATTTTTAGTTAAACCAAGACAAGAAAGGTTTTCCGTCCAAAAGCTTCTTCTAGGCGTGCGCGAGAATTTTTAACCATCGATAACTCGAAATCGGCAGAGTGAAATTGAAAAAGTTTAGAGTCATTTTAAACCCTTTTTCATAAACAACAAAAACCTACAAATTTATTCAAATCACTCCATTCTACCCGATTTCTTCCCAAATCCTACAGACTCCCAACAAGCATCAAGATCCCTCGCACGTCCCTAAAAATCCCCAAAATCATTGATTCTGACATTCGCCAAAAATACCAAAATTAAACCATTCAAGCGCATCTTCTTCATCGCCATAATTCAGTTAAAATGACCCAAAATTCCCTCTCCACCCCTCGCGATAACTTCGATGCCCCTAAACCCGACGAAACCCGGCTCCCCACATTCTTGCATACAACTTCCAGAATTTGATGCACAACCGCGATAATCCATATCTCGGGATAGATGCCCGAGGGCGCATCGATCACCCTTCCCCTTCCCCTCTCGCGGCCCTAAAAAAACCAAGAAGACGAGAGCTTTGATGCCTGGAAGCAATCTTGTTCCTCTGTGACGTAACTGCGACCCAAGAGCGTCATTTTTCACGCCAATATCACCGATAAAATTTCTATCCCTCAGTTTTTACCCTGAGCCCTCCCTTTGACTCGATTGAGACACCCAGAAAATGCAGGAAGTAGTTGAAAATACAAGTTGATGGTAGAAATAGAAGAGTCCACGTGACTTGAAATCACATCAGTGATGAATGCCGTTGGACGAAGAAAATTCTTCGTATATTCCCCTCTAACCTTCTTATCATCCCCGGGGCATCGATCCCATTAATCCGTGAACCCTGGGTTCTTCCTCGATCTTAATTCCAGTGGTAAATAAAAGTATAAGGCGCCCATACCCCATCAGTTTTCTCTTCTAAACTGAAAGTCGTCATCTGATATTCACCCATTACTCGTAATTATTATCGCTATCAAATTAGTCTCTGCAGAATTCAATTGAATTCCTCTTCCCGAGGTGCAAAATAAGTCCTCCACAGGACGAGAAGAGAAAACTGATGATCTATCACGATTAATTCCCAAAATAATGAAATTACAAAACAGAAAAATTGAATTCGCTCACAAGTTGATATTGTCCATTCTACTTAATTTGCAATTATCGGCAGAACGACCTGTTCTACGAGCAAATGTCAAAAGGAATTTTTGGTGACAAATGTCCTCATCTACAAAAAAGGTCCTGAGGTATTTTTTGCTGCGACCCCTCGGTAACAAGATAACCCCAAATAACTCAGGATCCTTCACAAATTTAACAGAAAAAATGTAATAAAAAAAATCACTCACCACTTTGTCGTCAGCATACAGCAGTGAATGAGGCTTGGCACAACCAGAGGACAGCAGACCGACCAAGAGTACGTAAAAAAACATGGTAACACCTCAATTGTTCACTCACAAAAACCAAAACCATAAAACCAAAACTCACTGTTTAACAAAATTTCACAGAATAGAAAAAAAAAATCACAAAAAAGTTTCCCCACGTTTCTCAAATCCTCAACTGCTGCCTTTTTAGTGTCTCTTAAAAGTTATTCGAGCTTTTTTTTTTATCACTCCCTTTGTATCAATGAGCAAGCTCTTTCAGTCTTGAGCACCAGGGAGTCATCAAGTTGGCAGTGTAAAGTGGATTCAAAGTACTTTGTAGAACACATATGACTGGCTCTCCTTGAATTTGATGGTTGATGAGTGGGTGGGTTGGGATATTAATGCTCCCAGTGTGACTGTCCAAGTGACACTGACCGTGGATATTCACTATCCCCACTTTAAACACTAAAAATAATAGGAGAAAGCACGAGTGCGTATTTTTCCTATTTACGTGGGGCATTATTTCTCATCATAATTGTGAGACGGAAATTGTCAACTCATGGGTTATGGATCATTCCTACGTATTTCCCGGACTCCTCCAGATTTCATTTACGTCTGTTGTTGAGTCTGGAATTATACAGGAAGGAAATGATTTTTTAAAGGAACATTCTTTCTTATTTTAGTCATCATTTTTCAACGAATAAAAGGTTTCAAAAAATTTTTTACATTTTTTTTTATAAAATGAGAATTTCATTTTGGACAAATGAGACAAATGAGGAAGTGGAAAGTGACCTCAAGTGAAAGTCCCCTCAAAAAACTGCAAAAACATTTATTACGAAAAAACAAATATTTTCAAGTTTTCAAAAAACTACCGGGGCAAAATGGGTTTATTATTTAGTTTTTTATTTCATTGAAAATTTTCTGGACTTTTCACTGAGATTTTTTTAGATTTTGAAATGGGTATCATTTTCTCAGGAAATTTGACATCGAATAAAAGAAATTTGAATTTTTGGATATTTTAAATTCTAGGGGGAGGGGGTGGAAAATTATCCCATTCGATAGATCGGAAAATTTCACATGAGATTGAAGAAAAAAATTGGCCGTTTTGCCCCAGGGGTTCCCTCCAAAAACTGCAAGAACATTTATTTCGAAAAAAGAATGTTTCTAAATTTTCAAAAAAACTACAGGGGCAAAATGCATTTTTTTTTTCAATTACATTTAAAAATCGTACCATTTCCTGAAAGAATTGTACATCTAATTAAAAAAAAATGGGCGTGCTACGCCCGGGATTCTCTCAAAAATCTAAAGTCAAAAAACGATTTCTCAGAAAAAGGAAAGTTTCAAATTTTCCAAAAAACTGGTGCAAAATGAATGATTTTTTTATTTAAATCAACATTTCACTGCCATTACTTTGAAATTTCAAAAACGTAGAGCTTCCTGCGTAGATCGTAAAGCCGATAATTTTAAGATTTCCTGCAAGGAACCATTGGGGAATCCCAATGACTAGTCTCCCCCTGCGGTCAGGTGTGATGAGCAGTCATAAAATAAATAAAACTCACCGTTGAATCGTTCACCCAAGTGATGCAGAGTGGTTGCCCGTTTGTATTGGATGTACGACATAATTGTTTCGTCATCAATACGATTCAATAGAACGTATTTGCCATAGCTGAGTTGAATTTCACCGGCCGGAAATGTCACCATGGAATCCCAAGAACTTGTCCCTCATCGCCTCCAACCCCAGTCACTCTCTGTCTCTCGTCCTTCCGCTGGCTTTGTTTCGCCCGTTTTTTTTTTATTCCCTTTGTATTTCCGTTTCTTGTTTTAATCCGTCTGCTGCCTATTTTCTCACTTCGTCGAGCAGCCGGAATTTAATTGAATCATCGGGACAAAAATTTCTTGAGTGCAATTTTTTCTTTCACTGAATTCTATTTCTTTTTTTTTTCTTTTGGTTTAATTGACAAATCGCCGAGGCCCCGGGACAATTTTTATCACTCAGATGGTTTCTACGTGTTCCGAGAATTTTGTCTGAAAGAAGATTAAAAATTGTCTTTTGATGGAAATCAGTAGGAGAAGGGGGTAAAATGGAATGTTTGGAAAAATTACTTGTCTTAAGGGTCGTGTTACCCTTAAGACAAGATGACCCATGAGATCAAACATCCTTAAGGGTCGTTTGACCCTCACGACCATTTGACCCTTAATTAAGAGCCGTTTGACCTTCAACTAACACCATAAAAAATGTAAAAAAAATCATTTTGTTTGTTAGTTGCGGGTCAAACAACTCTTAAGAAGGTTTTGGGTCAAGGGCTGAATGATTTAAAACAGAGTGAGTAGAAAGGGTCATTTGACCCTTGAGACAATGTGACCTCCAACTGAAAAAAATGCCAGGAAACGTTTTTTGTTTTCAGTTGAGGGTCAATTGGTTTCAAGGCTTAAACGACCCTTACGGACTTTTGGAGTTGAGGGTCAAATGGTCTTGAGGGGCGATCGGATTAGAACAAAGTAATCAGAAAGGGTCACTTGACCCCTACGACAGAGCAAAAAATTATTCTATCTAATTTTTTTTACTCCCCTCTTGTAGATGAGTTGAAGGGGAGATTATAAGAATGTGGATGAGAGTTGAAACAAAAGAAATTAATTGTATCATATAGGTCAAGACGGTTTACTATCGAGTTTATTATCAATTAAGAGAGGCCTCTTGACCCTTTCTCCCTAGCTTCGTTTTGTTACAATTGGGATAAGAATTCAATCGTTGTTTATTTTCTTGATCACGTGTGACGTGACTCAAGATTTAAGTGAGGAACGTGTGATACATAGGTACACAACCGCAATTTGTGGTTTAGAGGTGCCACACCCTGGGGAATTTATCAACGAGTGAATGGGATTGTGGTTAAATAATTGGAGATTTTCCACGATTTTTTACATAATTATTTTGTGACTTTGCGAGTGGGCTGATTCAAGGAAGAAAAATTTACATAACTTTTTTTCCGTCTTTATTACTCAAAGAAGCGGTGAAGGGTCTAATGAGAGAGACAAGAGGCCGATCACTTCGCACATCTCTCCCGTTTGACCTTCTTGACCTTTCCGTCTATCTCTCCCGTTTGACCCTCCTGACCTCTCCGATTTGACCTTCATGAAAGTTTGATTCTTCCGATCAGTTAGTTCGTTTCTTCCGTTTGACCCTCAAGACTGTTTAATCCTGAAGAACACTCTAAAAATAATCTTGTGGGTCAAACGGGAGAGACAGGTGAGGGTCAAATTTTCTTGAGGGTCAAAAGGGAGAGACGAGCAGTCATCAGAAGGGTCAAATGGGAAAGATGAATAGAGTGATCACTTCGCTTGTCTCTCCCATTTGACCCTCAACACTGTTTGACCCTTAAACAACGAAATTCGCAGCCCTCTCTCTTTTTCCTAATTCTCCAAAAAACAAAAATTGCAAAGTGAAATTTCAAAAGGCCAATAAAGGTCGTTGAAGGCCCCTGGTGATCCCATGTGACAGTCCAGTCTTACCTAACAAGGATCGCCGAGGCTGTTCGCCTCTCTACCGCGGATAGTCAATTAAACCGGTCACCGAATGGGAACACCACTGAATTCCTCGCGCATCCCAAACAATCCTCCAAATGCCCAAAGTCAATATCAGAAAGAATGTTTTGTTTTGTTACAGTTTACGGGAATTTTATCGGCTCAACTCAAATGCAAGTCGATTAGATACTGCAGCTGATGATAAATAATGTAACGCCTCATGTCTCGATGGAGAAATGAAACAAAAAAAATGGTTTCACGAGTTCTGAATGGGGTTTTTATCGAGATAAGGCGATAGTAAATGAGTGGAAAAAAATGAATGAATGACTGTGTCTACTACGATACGATTTATCGGTTGTAATTAGCGATTAATGGTGGATGGATAAATATATGAATGGATAGATGAATTAACAATTGACAAAAAAGATTAATTAATTTTTTTTCAATTTTTCATGATTTCCATTTTTTTCATGAAGTTAGTTCTTAATTATCTCAATAATGAATAGAGCTAGACAAAAATGTTAAAAGAAATTTTTTCTCGGAAATTCAATTTCCTACAAAAATTATCCGATACATTTTTCTCTACAAACAACCCTTTCAAAAATAAATAAACAATTGAAAAAATTTAAAATTCTCCTAATTCTTTGTTTTTTTTTTTTTCGTCTCATCAGTTCTCAATTATCTCGACAATCAATAGAGCTACAAAAAAGTGTTGAAATACATTTTTCAACAAAATTCAATTCCCTACAAAAACTATCCGCCACACATTTCTCCAGATCCTTCCGTTCTCGAGATAAAAAAACCAACGAAATCTATTTTCCATTCGAGAGAATAAAAAGAATTAATTAACAATCAATCCCCCGTCGTTTGCAGAAAACCCGAAAACCTTTCACCCTCAAATTGAAAAGTTGCTGCAGATCGAAGAATAAAACTGAAAAATTCAAACCCCCGGGCATGCATTCGTTCCAATTTCCGTAGTAAATCGTTTTCCACATACTCTTAACTTTTCACTCAGCACTTTCTCACTAACATCCATGAAAAAAAAAATGAAATAAAGGCCACGTGATAAAAATAGAGCATCTCACGTTCTCACGATCTTAAAAATCACCACTCAACACTCGGCGAATGCCAAAGAAGCCATTCTAATCCACAAAAAGCAAAAAACTTCAAAAAAATCAAATATTAATGTGAAAAAAAACAACAAAATTACCTTCAAAAATTGAAATTCCGTTTCAATTTCCCGATAATCCCCCCGATTTTCGATTCTAATTCCCCAAAAACTCTTTCCAATTACTCTCTCAATCCATCAGTTGATTATGTATTCAATTAACTAATTAATTAATTCATTAATTAATCAATTAATTAATTAACCCGGTGGAGGCAATTTTCCATCGATTCACGCGGCTCGATTTCCGGTGGGGGTAACAGAAAAAAGAAGGGATGACGTGAAATAAATAAATAATAAAAAAAAAATAGCCCACACGCAACGCAAGGAAACCCGTGCGTACGGTGCGCCGCGTGCCGCGCGACTGTCGTTGGCTCCAACTCTCAACACAACAGCCAAAGCACGCTCCCTTTTTCGTCCTTCTCACTCCATCCCAAGTGCAATGGGGAACCCTCGAGTCGCGACTCGGTTCGTCTGCTCATTCTCTTTTTCATTTATTTTTTTCTTTCCTTCTTTTACACGTCTTGTTTCTCTTTTTCTTCATCATCACTCACCCACTCTCTACATATATTCCCGTTCAAACGCCCACCGCTGGATTACCCCCACCAGCTGATTTTGTTTATCATTATGAATTGCAATTAATTTGTTTAATTTCCATTTCCATTTGTTTAATTCGATTTAAGATCACATTATTCATAAAAATTCTCGTTCATCTTGAAAATTTCAATAAAATTCAGTTTTTCATTGTGAGCTATCAATTATATTTCAGGGACAGTTTAAATTCTAGACTTCATTATGAAAATTGAATACTAAATTTAATTGAATTTTCAATAAATTGAGAATTCCGTAAAATAATTCCCTGAATTGTTAGTAATTTCAATAATTTTCTTTGTCGTGTAGAAATTAAGAAAATTAAATTGATTAAATTAATTAAATTTTACATAAAATTAATTTTATTTCATGGCAATTTAGTATTGTTAAAAATTCCATAGTGATCAATTTCAATTATTTATTTATAAACAACGAATGTTAAAAAAAATAATTCTGTGCAAAATGTAATTTGAGTAACGCTGAACATTCTTGCTTTTTTCAAATTTTTCTCACGCAATTTAATTGACAAATTTGGTGATGAAAAATAGTTGAATCTATAGTGTGGCCTGTAAATGCTACTTGAATATCCTTGAAGGTCAAATGGGAGAGACGAGTGAGGTGATCACTGCACTGGTCTCTCCCCCATTTAACCCTCAAGAAAATTTGACCTTCCGCCTGTCTCTTCCATTTCACCCATCGTCATTGTTGTGAGATGGAAAAAAAGTAATCAAAATTTTTCTCTCCAGCCTTTTTTCACTACCACAAAATCACTCTGTTTCTATTAAAAATTAACTTAAAAAAAATTATTAAAAAAATATTAAAAATTAACTTCAGAATTGTAAAACCTAAAGACCACTAAAAAAAATTATTCATCCCGACGATATCGATCGCTCCATACCCAAAATATCATCATCATCATCTCCTTACCCCACACTTCATCATTTTTTTTATTCCCAATGAATTGATAACCCCTAATCCCATCCAAAGGTAATCGCGAACCTGGAAATATTCATCCCCTGAAAGAACTTTATCTCAGAAATTTCTTAGCATTTCCCCCATAATAGCCCGCAAGATATTGGAAAACGTCGAAATGTCGAAGTGGAAAAAAAAAATTAATAACCTCGCATTGAATCTCGAAAACGGTTACGGCGTCGTAAATCACGAAGGTACGTGATATGGTAATGCTCACTGCTGGGCATGAAGAGTTGTTTCTATCGGGGATGATTTTTCCGCCCCCCCCCCCTCCCGAGTTAGGGGTAAAAATCAATGCCGCGAGGAATTATTGAGCGGGTTTCTTGCTTCTGTAATAGTGCGTTTCAGTGAGTCAAGCCGAGCCCCTCAATGAGAAGCGAGAACCCAGCGGTTGTGTGTCTCGACCATTTGGAGTTTTTGTGTCTCGCTTCACCGGATATGACACTACTCACACCGAGATCCACCCACTAGGGCGCAAACGTAGGGTCACTACTTGTCTTTGAAGTTCAATTCTCGAATTAGTTTTCTATTCAGTGGAAAATTTTCCATTTTTTTTTTCTTGCCTCCCCCTCATTGTGAATATGGCCCCTCCTACATCAAAAGAGAATTTGTTTCATCGGTTCCTCCTGAGGTATAGCCCCTCTGAGAAAATAATCAGAGATTGTAATTATTCAAGATGATGGCAGTGTTTTCAGGACGAACAAACGGTGAACAAACGATTCCCCAGGAAGAACAAATAAAACAAATTCAACAGAAAATGGAATTCCTCCTTTGAATTTAATATTTAATATTAATTTTTGATATTCAAACCAACGAATATTGACATCGACGTAATCTCCAAACAAATGTTTAACCCCCCCATCAAATCCATACAACCCATAAAATAATGCGAAAAAGAAAAATCCATGCACATGAATAATAATCCCACTCAATGCCGATGAAAATATTCCTGGCGGGAATATGCAGGCCTCCGCAGTGCCATCTACCAGACCCCACCCCAACCTCCGTAGTAATTGATCCCCAGAATGAAAATAAAAAAACGCCGCAAAAAAAACGGTTTCCACTCGAATAAATCCGCCATTCCATCAGAACCCATGTAAATGCTCCCGATGAGCATATTCACCCGTCTGAGAATGTGGGTTTCCGCAATAAAAAAAAAATCGTCATAAAAAATATCGACTGGATCGATAGATCACCGCCTACCTGTGCGTCTAAATATACAAGTCTCCTCTCGCGGAAAAATTTAATGGTCCTCTCTATCGCACCTGTCACCTTAACCCACTGGAAACCAATAGTACCGGGTAATCCACCCAGAAATGACGAAGTTGAGTCTTGGCTTTAATTGATATGATATTTCCACGTGGACCACAGAGCACCAGAGGATTTCACCATGATCCCGGGGTACATCCATAAACCTTAAGCCAAACAAAGTGGACCCTTGAGAACTGGTCACACCTATTACCCAAAACTAATCGCTTTGGTAACTCAACTCCCGACACAATTTTGCCGTTAAACTTGCTCCTCAAATCCTCTTATGTTGAAACAATAAAATTTTGGGTGATGGTGTTTGAGAAAGGGGGACCACCCACAATGGGAATGTGAAATTATTTCCGCGAAAAATGAGGGCGTGTGGGGAATTTAACGAGGACATGTCGCTTTGGGCGTCGGATTTTTAAAGATATTTCGAAATTTAAGCTTTCTTCATGAAAATTGGGATTTTTTGAGGGGTTGTTTGACCCTCATGACCATTTAAACCTCAACTGAAAGAAGGTTCCTGACATTTTTGTTTTGTTTCGGTTGAGGGTCAAATGGTCTCGAGGGTCAATTGACCTTTATGGTCATTTGACCTTTAATCCTGAACAGTTTCAAGGGTTGTTTGACCCTCGAGACCACTTGACCCACAAGTAAAAACAAAAAAAAGTTTCACTTTTTTTGTTGAGGGTCAATCGACCCTTAAGACCATTTGACCTTTAATTCTGAATGTTGTCAAGGGTTGTTTGACCCTCACCTCCAACCCTCAAGGGTCATTTGACCCTCGCCTAAAACCAAAAACAATTTCCTGGCTTCTTTCACATTTTCATTTAATTTTCGGTGAATATCTGCAAATCTACTGGAGATAGTAAAATTTTTGTCAAGACCCCATTTGTTGTGCTTCAAATTCTCCACAAAAAAGTTTCTCACAAAAATTTCAGTATCTCCGACAGATTCCACGATATTCACGAAAATCTTCGAGCAAAATGTGAAATCCGTTTAAAAACAGTGAGATGAATTCTTAAAAATTTCGTAACATTGATAGATTCCCAGATATTCCCCCGAATCTCTCAGTACAATTTCCCCAACCGAAAAAAAAACACCAAAGATGGTTCATTAAACTAAAATCACTGGGCGAATGACCACTGACTTCCCCCCGAAGATAATAATTCCGTTGTGAAATCCAGTGGGCGCCAGCCGGAAATCCACTCACATTACATCTCCATAATTTTTCCCCGATTTCTCGCAAACGAGGAGAAGCAAATAAACCAACGCAAAATCTAGCTAATCATCCAAGGCCAGTTTGACTCATATTCATGAATAAACTAATGAAAGTATTGTACCGAGAGACAAAGGAGCCAGAGGCATTGATACATGTATCAAAATGATTCAGAGTAAAATTGTCGCGACAGACCGGAAGTGTCTGATTGTTGGCCAGAGGGCTGGTGACCTCTCTATCCTCTGGCTTTTAATGTCGAGGGTCAATCGCCTTGCAATTAGGCAATTTAAACGATAACCCAGCGACCTAAAAATATATAAATACAAAAAAAAATCACCATGTTCTTTTTATTTTAAAAAAAATCTCCATTCATGTTGTTTATCTTCACGTTCTTTCATTTTTCGTTCTTCCACTTTTTTTTTATTTTGGAAATTGCAGAGTACTTCCTTTGCAACTGAGTCGAATCAATGAATGTGAATTATTCACGAGAACGGGCGCCACTTTACGGAGAAGTATAAATATCTGAAGTGAATGCAATTTTTTTTTTATGGCGGACGAAAATATTTTTATGAAATGAAAAGTAAGAGAAGGGGAATTTAATTTTTTTTGTCTGTCTGAGGGAACTCGGAGAAGTGATTGATGTTTTGACCCTTCGACTGTTGTAAGCTGTATTTTTTACAATGCAGGAGGCATTCGGCAAAAGTAATTTCACCACTAGTTTCGCAAAACCATTGATGACAGACGAACCGTAGATCCTGGAATGAACTGAACGCAACTGATTCACCTAATGCACCTTTACCACCACGAAATACCAAACAGTTTGACAATGAGGCCCATTCGTGCGTGACACTGATGGGAAAATGGTGATTGAATTGACAGAGAAAATTTGTGATTGAAAAATCGATTGTGCATTGCGATTAATCAATTTTTATTGGAGTGGACTTTTGTTTTCTTGTGAATATCTGCAAAATTATGAGAATTGGCGGTATTTTTGTGACGACATAATTGTAGAGAATGTTAAGGGCAATAAAAAAGGTTTTAACTAAAATTTTTTTATCTCCCATAGATTCGGAGATATTCACCAAAAAATAAAAAAAAATCAGCAAACTTTTTTTTTGGGGGTTGGGTTGTGAGGATCTTCCCCAACCGAATTCGATTTTGGCGAAAGTCGACTTTCCCCCTGGAAAAACCGCAAATCTGACCCTTTGGCTGGGGCCAAAAAAAACGGTTTCTCAGTTTTCATTTTTTCCACATACTTTCGACAGTTCTGACTAGCCCGGCGCTTAAATAGTTGGAATCAACGTTCACCCGGCTAAAAAATTCGATTTTGGCGAAAAATCCAAGATCTGACACTTTGACCCTTGTGACCCTTGGACCGACTTTCCCCCCGGAAAAATCCAAGATCCGACACTTTGGCCTCCGGTGAAAAAATTTTTTTTTCATTTTTCACTTTTTCCACATACTTTTGATAGTTCTGACTAGCCCGTCGCTTAAATAGTTGGAATCAACGTTCACCCGGCTAAAAAATTCGATTTTGGCGAAAATCCACTTGCCCCGGAAAACCCGAAAATCTGACCCTTTGGCTGGGGCCAAAAAAAACGGTTTCTCAGTTTTCACTTTTTCCACATACTTTTGACAGTTCTGACTAGTCCGGCGTTTAAATAGTTGGAATCAACGTTCATCCGGGTAAAAAATTCGATTTTGGCGAAAAATCCAAGATTTGACACTTTGACCCTTGGACCGACTTTCCCCCCGGAAAAATTTTTCCACATACTTTTGAGAGTTCTGAATAGCCCGTCGCAGGCGTCAACCGGCCCTTGAGTGCATTCTGATCCCTCTATTCTAACCCTTTTGACTCTTAAGACCATTTGACGCTTAACGATAATCGTTCTCAAGGGTTATTTAACCCTCAAAAGACCATTTGACCCTTAACTAAAACCAAAAAAAATTCTGTTATTTGCTTAATCTCAATCAAGGGTCAACCGGCCCTTGAAGGCGTGTAAGGTCGAAGGTCAAACGACCCTCAAATCATTTAACCCTCATGAACATCAACAGAATTAATCCAATGACGACGAAACCCTCGAAAAGTGCATCAAAAGGATCAATTTTAGATCTCAAAGTCAATGAAACGATAAATCCTATAAATTCTGTGTTTACATTGGCAGAGTTGAGTGGAGTCAAACACCCGTCTCGACATAAATACACCCGAGTATGCAGCAGTATGCACGAGGAAAGTCCGGTACTGAGAGAGATTGGAATAGGTAACCCCCATCTCCTCACTCACATCCTCTGAATGTTCATCTAGTCGCACAAAGTGCCTCGATGAGGCAACATCAAAACCCAAGTACCCCTCCGTTCACTGTAAAATTTACGTTCTCAAACGGGGGACGGGGGTTGATTAAAACGTATGTTAACATCAATCAGTTTTAAAGTCGTGTACACCGATGCAGTGTGACAACTTCACAGAGTTTGTGTACATATTTGTATTTCCTCATGTTAGCCCCCCACCGTCCCCCGACCCCCTCTCGTTTCGTAATTCTCACTTCTGATTGCGGAGAAAAGTTCGGGGAGATGGATGAAATGAAAATGAAAAGCATTGAGCTTTTGTGAGTGAGTATTTTAATTTTTTTAATTGATGAAAGACAATTAGAATTGACGATTGAGATGATTTTTTGGAGAAAAAAAAATTAATATTTGGGAAATTGAGTAGTTAGCAATGGTTCTGAGGGTCAAATTGCCGTAAGGGTTGGCGTAAAGGGATCATAAAAGGCCGTTTGACCCTTAACCCTACGGGTTTTTGAGGGTCGTTTGACCCTTACGCCAATTTGACCCGCAATTCAAAATTTTAAAAAGTCAGGAAACTTTTCTTTTGTTGTTAGGGGAGGATCAAATAGTTTCAGGGTCAAACAGCCCTTAAGAACATTTAGGGTTGAGGGTCAAATGCCCTACAGAACAGCTGGAAAATGACTATTTGGCTATAGTTTTATGAAGCAATTATTCTTGAAGGTCAAAAGGGTTAGAAAAGAGTGATCAGAAAGGATCACTTGAGGGCTGTTTGACCCTTAGGCCAATTTGACCCTCAACTCAAGATTTTAAAAAGTCACAAACCTTTTATTTTGTTTTTAGGTGAGAGTCAAATAGTTTTGAGGGTTAAAAGACCTTTAAGGACGTTTGGAGTTGAGGGTCAAACAGCCCTTAAGAACTTTTAGGGTTGAGAGTCAAATGGTTTTAAGTACAGCTGGAAAACGACTATTTAGCAATGGTTTTAAGAATCAATTTTTTTTAGACGCGAAAGGGTGAGAAAAGCGTCATCAGAGAGGGTCATTTGACCCTTAACCCTACACATCTTCAAGGTTCATTTGACCCTCAAATAGAAAAAAAAATTTTTTAATGAAATTTTTTTGGAATTTCTTCTTTCTGTCTAATTCTCCCTGAACTGTCCAAATGATGTGAGGATAATTTGGATATTAGGAGTCGGTGAAGTAAATACAGATAATTTCCACCACTACAAGAGTAGATAAAAACCCTGGCTGGAATCCAAGACTCGAATTACCCTCGCGCCACAAAAAAAAACCGGAAATTCCGCGACACCAATTTACCTCACAAATTCAGTCGTCATTCTCGCTAAAATTATAGACTCGCGACTTTAATCTCAGGACAAACCACAATTGTCGGCAATTTCCACTAAACAAGTCTGTCATCATCTTCCGGATTAAGAAAAAAAAGTAACAAATAAATGTTGCATTCTAATCTCATTCTTTCAGAAGTTGATTTCTCACGTTTCGTTGATTGTTTAATCATGTTCATAATGAGCTGACGAGAAAATATTTTGTCATGTTTTCTTGTAAAGTCGCTCGCTAGCCCGATAATGCGATGCCGATAATGATATTGTTTCTCTTATTACTTGATAAAATCACACCAAGAATATAATCGCGGATAGAATAATAATGGAAGCCTTCCAGTTGCCAGTATTTCGTTGAGAATCCACTCACTCTCAAGATCCAAGGATTTTTTTCCGAGGGATTTTTCGGGGCGAAAAAAACATTCGGCGATCTTCGTCATATCACTAACACTTTTTGGTAAAAATTTTGCAGTTTGAAAGAATGAGATTTTTTAAATAATTGAAATTGAAAAAAAAAATAGTTTGTCCGATAAAATTAGTAAAAATCTCATTTTTTAAATTTATTCACGATTGTTTCGCGAGTCGAAGGGCAATTTGATATTTCTAAACTCGAATTAGACCAACTTTCAGGGAAAAAATCAACAAGGACATCAAATTCAACAAGGAACAGTCCATAAAACAATGCCATAAAAATATCAGCAAAATTTTCTCAATTTTCGCATTTTTATACGTCTACCAGAAAACCTATCCAGCCGTTTTTGAAGAGAAAAATTTTCCTTCCCACATTTTCCCCACCCTCGGCCACCACGAATATTCCCCCTGACTTGCGTAAAAAACTCACAATTACACGGTCAAAAGTCTCCACTTCCAAACCCCCAAATCTAATCTAATCTCGGCCACCGGTTGGTGAAATTCAAGGTGAATTTCAATTCCCACCGTCTTCATCGTCCACATCTTTCAGTTCCCATTGTCCCACCTTCCATTTAGCTCAGTCCTCACCAGTCTATTCACCAACTCGGAACCTTCCAAGAGCATTGCACCCATTCCTCGTCATTCCCCACTCCCCCCACCCAACCGATTGCATTATTTAATTAATTGTTTTGTCAATTTTATCGATAATATTTTTATCATCGAGGTGTCGAAATTGTTTTCATATAAAGCCTGTAATTCTGATCGGCGGGACAGTTACATCGGTCTCTCCTCAGGTGAGTTGTCGCTCAAGGCAATTCAATGTTTCAAGTTATTAACATAATTTTAATCATTCATTTAGATTTTTTTTCCGCGAAGGAAAAAACAATTTTTTTATTAATTATTTGATTATTTGGGGAATAGCGATGGGGATGGGGTCAATCGTGACCCCCAAATGGTGATTCAGTAAAGTTTATAATTTAATAGAAGAAAAGTTCTAATTTGTCCTGTTAAATCACGAAGAATCAATGAAAATCGATTTTGATTTTGGAATAAATGGGGGAATAATGGGACAAAATGGCTCATTCTTTGTTCATTTTATCAGAAATTTCATGATCATTTCGAGGGAACAACATTCATTCCAGAGAAAATAACTCAAATAATTAAAATCGCGTAATTAATTATTTGGAATTTTTTATTCAATAAAAAAGTTCCTTTTTCATTCAATTTTGAATTTTTTGAGACAATATCTCGAGAATGAAGATGCTGATGGGGTCGATAGTGACCCCAATTGATAGTTCAGGTAATTTATAATAGAATAAAGTAAAAATCCTCCATTTTTCCCCATTCTATCACGAAAAATCAATGAAAAGCTATTTTTCCCTAAAAATTTTGGATTTTAGAATAAATAATGGAATAACGGGGCCAAGCGGATAATCTTTCCTGCCATTTTATGACAAATTTCATGATCTTTTCGAGGGAATAAAATTTATCTCCGTAAAAATAGCTCAAATAATTAAAATCATTGAATTAATCGCTCAGAAATTTCTTTTTTTCACCGAAAAATTCGATTCTTTCCCTCAATTTCCAGTAATAAATAAGGAAACGGGGTCCATAATGACCCCAACCGACGGACGAGCAGACCTTCACCTGATTCTCAAAATGAAATCGCCCATTTTGCCCCATCAAATGTCTAATGACCCACCAAAACCTAAAATTTTCCCTCAAAAAAAAAAAAAAAAAAGTTTTTTGCAGTTTCCATTAACATTGTGAGTTCCCAGGTGATATTCTCAGAAAGACTGACTCTTATCACGAAGATATCCGCCTCGAATTTATCACTCAACACCACTTGCTCCTATTGTTACAGATAACCGAGAATGTTGCGCCAAGCATTGAATTTTTTTATGCTATTCGTCCTGGTGTCAAGTGAATTGGACAATCCGAGTTCAGAGGCCCTGATTGAGGTCCAAGAGGTGCCCCCCGAGGAGCCAGTCCCCCTGCCCCTTCCGGGGATGCTGTACCCCCGTGAGAGTGAAACGAGAGAAGTAAAGATCACTCAAAAAATCGAAAAAATTCATTCGTTTTTGCGCGAATGGAACGTAATTATGATGATTTAATGCAGGTGAAGTCATTGGACGGCCTGTGGGACTTTGCAATGTCACCGTCTGGTGATTCTCTCACGGGAATCCGTGATCAATGGTACAGGGATGAATTATCGAAGGTAAAAAGACAATTCTTTACGAACGCAATCCTTCGGAGTGATTTATCTCACTGAGGAATGATTCTACGATAAAATGTCTCAAGACCATTTTTGAGGAGGATTTCATGCGCTACAAAAAACATTCTATGATATTTTCTCCTAAAATCGTTACTTTTCGACATTTTTGGTAATTAACAAAAGTAGTTTTCGTGAAAACGAACAAAACTCAATTTTTCATGAATTCATAATCCTTTGAGGCTGTTTATCTTAATGAGGAATACCCCTACGGCAAAATCACACAAAATCATTTTTATGGAGAATTTCATGATCTACAAAAAAGATAATATACAATTTTTTCGTACAACCCCTCGTTCACAAGATAATCCCAAATTTATGAAAGATGTAATTCTTCGTTTTTCGCATTTTGATTTTCAATCAATTTCTCATTTCATTCAATGAATTCCTAATTCCCCTGCATTATTAATTCTCAATAGTCAGCGCCAGTGATGCAGATGCCAGTGCCCTCCTCCTACAACGACATAACGACCTCGAAAGCCCTCAGAGATCACGTTGGAGCAGTCTGGTACGAGCGAAATTTCTTCATTCCCCGTTCGTGGGAAGATCAACGGGTTTTCATAAGATTTGGCTCTGTAAATTACCTCGCCCAAGTGGTAAATAGCTCATAATGGCTCATAAAAAACCACAATCTCCACTAAAACCCAGCGCATTAAACTCTTAAATTCCCGCAGTGGATCAACGGCGACCTAGTGACGAACCACGAGATGGGACACTTGCCGTTCGAGGCTGAAATCAACTCCTACATATTTTTCGGTGTTAAAAATCGAATAACCGTTGCGGTTGACAATACCCTGTTGCAAACGAGCATTCCCCAGGGCCATGTCAATAAAATGGAATCTGACAATGGAACCATTTGGGTTCAATCCTACACATTTGACTTTTTTAATTACGCTGGAATCCACAGGTGATTAATTACACGAAATCATGAAATTAAAGTCAACGAAATTGGAACTATTAACGGTTTTTTTTCCAGTGAAATGCTTTTCTACTTTTGTAGTCGACTATCAGACCTTTTTTTGTTAAAACTTTTTAAAATTTTGTTTAAACTTTGGAGATCTGAATTTGAATCTCGATATCAGACAGGCAAAATCGTCAATTATTTTGTTGCATACAAAATCAAATAACTGTATTGTACAATTTTTCAAATATTTTATAAATCAGTAATCAACTTCGCAAGAATGATGATTATTTCACTAATTTAAAATCAAATTCAGATATTTAGAATTAATTGTTTAATTATAATTGAGAACTAAAATTTCAATAAAAAAGTAAGGAGCTGTGATTAATCAATGGTAAACTTCTTCCAAAATAACTTAGCAACAATTTTTGCCGGTCCCTTCTCGATATTAAACCGTTAGAAAACATTTTAAAAATTTGAAAAAAAATTAGAAAGTTTATTTTTGGAGAAAGATTGATAAAATAATTTTTTTTAAATGCAATTTTTGAAAATTACGAGCATTTTCAATCAATAGTTTACAAACAATCAATTTTCCGCCATAAAAATCATTTCCTCGGAATCGTAATAAATTTATTCATGTTCCGATTTTTCCCAGAAATCGATTTTATGTCTAAAAAAAACCCCTGAACATCGGTTTTCATCCGGTTTTGCATGTATTTTAGGCCAGTTCTACTATCAACAAAGCCCCGAGTCTACATATCCGACATAACGATAAAAACCTCGACCTCCGGCGACACCGGAATAATAAAATACTCGATAGAACCAGCGGGCCACCTCCCCTCGGAGACAGCAAACTGCAGAGTATCCCTCCGAGAGGACAATGCAGCGCTAGTCATTAGCGACATCTCAGGTTTCTCAGGAACCCTGAGGATCCCGAGCGCCAAGCTCTGGTGGGCCCGAGGGATGAGCGAGACCCCAGGGTACCTCTACACCTTCGAGGTGACCCTCACCCTCCCGAATTCAACGTTACAGGACGTCTACCGCCTTCCAATCGGCATAAGAACGATAAAATGGAGCAATACGAGTCTTCTCCTGAACGACAAGCCTGTCTACCTGCGGGGATTCGGTCGTCACGAGGACTCGGTCATCAGAGGAAGAGGTCTGGACCTAGTTACCATGACGAGAGACTACGAATTGTTGAAATGGGTGGGTCAAACGCGAATGCCATTTACGATCATTCAAGCGATTTTAATATGAAGTCAAATTAATAAAAATTGCAAGATCCAAAAGAAAAACCTTCCATTTCCGCTGACATATCGGACCCACAGGGTGTCCTTCATCAGGGCAATATTTTTGGCATTTTAGTTGAAATATTATTACAATAGAACTGTTTTGTGATTTTATATTTTGTTGATGGGGAAAAAATTATTGCCCTCATGAAGGACTTGTCGGCCCTCAATCTCGTAATTTACGTCCTAGGCCCCTATAATACATCTTATAGTCGTGATAATTGAAGTCCATAAAGTATTCATTTCCCCACACCCTTCTATAAAATATTATTTTGCAAATTTTGTTTGGGCCCTAACCTTGTATTTTACAGCCTCGGCTCTAAAATTCATTTTATGATCATGAATTACTCGAAAAGTTCGTAGAACATCTGTTTTCTCACACCTAGGCCGTAAAATTCATTTTATGGTCACGAGTAACTCAAAAAATTCCGCAAAATATCTATTTTCTCACACCGTTGGGTGAAATTCTGCCATTTTATACGCTTAATGTGGATCTTCATCTCATATTTTACGATCTAGACCGTAAAATGTAGTTTATGATCACGAATAACTAAAAAAATTCCGCAAAATATATATTTTCTCACACCGTTCGGGAAAATTCTACCATTTTATACGCTTAATGTGGGCCTTCATCTCATACTTTACGACCTAGGCCGTAAAATGTATTTTATGATCACGAATAACTAAAAAATTCCGCAAAATATCTATTTTCGCACACCGTTGGGTAAAATTCTACCATTTTATACGCTTACTGTGGGTCTTCATCTCATATTTTACGATCTAGACCGTAAAATGTATTTTATGATCACGAATAACTAAAAAAATTTCGCGAAGTATCTATTTTCTCACACCGTTGGGTAAAATTCTACCATTTTATAAGTTTACTGTGGGCCTTCATCTCATACTTTACGATCTAGGCCGTAAAATGTATTTTATGATCACGAATAACTAAAAAATTCCGCAAAATATTTATTTTCTCACACCGTTGGGTAAAATTCTACCATTTTATAAGCTTACTTCATCTCATACTTTACGGCCTAGGCGGTAAAATTCATCTTACAGCCGCGATACTTGAAATCCAGAGTATTAATGCTCCCACACCCTTTAATAAAATATCATTCTACGAATTCTAAAGACCCCAGGCCGTAAAATTCCCCCTAAAAATCCATTCTCATTAAATTACCCATTTCCAGGTGGGTGCAAATGCCTACAGAACGAGCCACTACCCCTACAGCGACGAAGTAATGGACATGGCTGATCGCCAGGGTTTCCTGATAATCGACGAGTGTCCAGCAGTCGACACCGAGAATTTCTCCAGTGAATTGCTGAAACGCCACAAAAACTCCATCTCCCAACTGATCCGCAGGGACAAGAACCGGCCGTCAGTGCTGATGTGGTCCATCTCCAACGAGCCCAGGACAGCTCTACCCGGGGCGGATGTCTACTTCAAGGAGGTGGCACTCCACACAAAAATTGTGGACCCAACCAGACCCATCACCATTGCCCTGTCCGCTGGATGCAATCAGGACAAGGCAGGACAATTTCTCGACGTAATAAGCTTCAACCGATACAACTCCTGGTACGCTAATGCCGGAAGACTCGACATGATCATTGATAAGGTGATGGCAGAGGCCCAGAATTGGCACAAGAAGCATGATAAACCTGTTCTCATGAGTGAGTATGGAGCTGACACAATGCCTGGGCTGCATGAGCTGCCTGAGTACATATGGAGTGAGGAATACCAGACAGCTGTTCTCTCAAAGCACTTTGAGGCCTTTGACAGACTGAGGGAGGAGGGGTGGTTCATTGGTGAGTTTATATGGAATTTTGCGGACTTCAGGACAGCTCAGTCCTACACGAGAGTCGGGGGAAATAAAAAGGGAATCTTCACGAGGACTAGACAACCAAAAATGGCAGCTCTTCATGTCAGGAGGAGGTATCACGCTCTTGCAAGCGAGCTCGATGGAGCTGATGCTCCAGGGGATCTGGGGTACTATGTGGCTAGTTATGGACAGCATGAGGAGTTGTGAGAAGGGCGAATGCTCAGAGAGAATGGGGGGTTTTGTAATTTGACGAGTTTTTTAACGAAATTTTGTACTGCAGTGATTTTTTATAATAAACGATTTTTTGAGGAATGACTTTGGAAGTTTTTTGGTGTGGGACTCAGAGAGGATTTTTGGGTTTTGATGGAATTGAAATTAAATTTTTTGAAGTTCCTGGGGGTTTTGTTGATGAAGAGAGAAAAGTTTTTGTGGTTTATCGAGGGTTTTTGAAAGCTTGTTGAAGCATGATTTCAATTCATGGACTTTTTGAGGATGATGAGCATCAGAAGATGTTTTTTGTGATTTTGGTTAAAATTGAAATGAAATCGTTTTGAAGGAAAAAATTGTTTTTGTGATTTCCTGATGATTGTTGGGAATTTCAAAGGATTAAGGGTTGAACAATGCTTTCAGTTGATGGAGAAGTCATCAGGAAATTGGTTTTTCAGTTGTGAGGAGCTTTAGAATGATTTCTGGAGGTGGTAATCATCAGATGGATTTTAGGATTTCGTTGAAGACTGGGACAAATTGATTAGAAAAATGTTTTTACAGCTCAGTAAAGAATTATCAATTTTTCAAACAAAATTTTCGCCGACTTCAATTATTTTTCTGATTATTGAGAGTTGTATACTGTTAATTAACCGCTGTTGAAATAAAAAAACGCCGCAAAATGGTAAAACAATACTGACGCAAAAATAATCAAAAAATAGCTTCCATTTTCAATTGAAGCTTTTCACCGTCATTTTTAAATTATCGAAAAATTATTGAGTAATTGTTATTGAAGTAAAAACCATCAGAAAATGGCTTCAACATTTTAGTGAGGATTCAGGATTTTTCTGATGATTTTTAGGATTGAGGAAATGATAATAGGGTATTTACCGATTCAGGATGAGGTATCACGTTCGGAGACAGGGAATAAATGATGATCTACCTCCAACACTCTAAAAAAACCAGAAAAATAAATAAATAAATAAATAAACCCCATAAAAATCTTTTCTCCTCTCCTACTTTCATAAAAGAAAAAAAAACTAAAAGCAAAAGAAAAAATCGGCAGTTTTGATGATTAAAGACTCCAGTTCGTAGATTTTTTTTCTCTTTCATGAAAAATATTTAATGACATCTGATAAAATATTGTTATGTACTTTTTAAAAATCGTCGTTGCTACGTGGGATTGTTCTCAGGCTCAACGACCTTCAGACAAGCATCAGCGAGTTCAACGAAAATGGGTTCAGTCATTGCTAGGGCTATGGTTTTTGTGGGGTCTGGGTCATTGAGGATCGCCCTGGCAATGTCCCTCACGTGGGGATTCCTCAGGCACTCTTTCACTTCTTCACTTTCACGTAATAATTCAAGTTTTTTTAGGGGGACAGTGTCTTCTGTTGGGAATTCATATTTTTGGGGCTTTTTCTCGTCATCTCGACACTTTTCTGATGATTCAGGGGGCGAACAGGGTGTGGACTTGTGTGATTTGCAACAGGAAGCCGAACAACTGCAAGAAAAAAAATTAATTTATAATTTTTCATAAAAAATTGAATTTTGATTTTTCGGAGACGAAAATTAGAAAATTAAAGACATTATTTTTCATCACATTTTTATGACAAAAAATCAAATTTTTTTAGATATTTTTATGGCAAAAATAATAAAAGTGAAGCATTGGAATTTTTTTTTTATTTTTCTTTTTAGGATTTGCACATGTTGTACTCAACAATAATCTCTTCAATGATTTTTTGCGTCAGAAAATTCTGAATCGAACCATTAAAACTTTTCCAGATTTTTTATTCCAATTTTTTCCTCATTTTTGGTGACAAAAATGTTAAAATTGAAATATTGGAATTGTTGTTGATTTTTTTCTCAATATTTTTTGAGGTTGTGAACATGTTTCAATGATCAACAATTTTTTCCATGAATTTTTGATGATTTTTCACGAATTTATCTCATGATTTTTCGAGGCTAAAAACTTTTTTCAACAATTGTTGATAATTTAATTGTGCAAAATCGATTGAATCGATAATTAAATATTAATTAACATTCCCCGATAATTATTAATGACAGAGGTGATGATTTGTTTACGTACTAGGGTTGTGTGCACGTCGGACACTTGTAGCGTGACCCCTCGGCGTTGCAAATGCAGCAATTCTTCATCTTATGGCACAATTTATCAACAATCAATCGATATTTATTTATTCTGAGTGATTAAGGGTTGACATCGAGTGTTTAATTGAGTATTCCGTGATTATTGGTGATTATTGAGGCGACAGTGCCGGCGAAAACACGCGATTTGGTCTGCTCCTTTGTTCTCTGCGAAGCGCGCGTCCAAGCGCGTCTCAACAAGTCCGTGCGCCTGCGCAGTGAGACGTACGTCATGGCGGCCGACGCCAGCGCCAGGCGCCAATTCTCAGTGAATTCAAACGCCCGAAAGTCAGTCAATCTCATTGGAATTAATTGCTGGACCTTTGCTATGTCATTTCTCACCACCTTCTTGATTAATAAATTAATTATTTGTTAATTGCGAGCGAATTTTGCGCGAAATTCAACATTTTTGAGAATTGTTTTTTGTCACTTTTTGCTTTTTTTCAATCTTTTTGTTCAATTGTAAAATTGAACAGTATGAGACCTTTGTGTTGTCACTTCTCGCTAGTTAGCTCAATTAATTAATTAATTAATAGAATTATTTCTTAATTATGAGGGAATTTTGCGCGAAATTCAAGTAAAAATGAAATTAAAAAATTTCTAATTCTCCGCGAAATTTGAAATAGAAAAAAAAACAATTCAATTTTTTAAATTAATTTCATTTTGTTCTCTAGATTTGTCCATTACCTAATTGAACAGAAACAAATTGTTCAATTTTCAGTGTAAAAAAATTAATTCCTCCCTCCAAGAAGCGAAAGTCCACTGTCCACCGTCAAATGAATAATTTTTTCCCTAAAAAATGTGAAATCACCGGTTCGAAATTGGAATTGGACACACGTCGCATCATTCCGGGGAAACCCGTAACCGGGCATTCCAATCCGCGTGCCCCGGATGCCACTGCATTCTCGTCACCCGATTGCAATACCCAAGCCCCAGAGGCCCCTACCAATTTCCAAGGATAATTTTTTTAATCTTTTCAAAAATGTTTAAAAAAAAAATTTTTTACGTATTATATTATGATCAACTTCAATCATATTTACAAATATTTTTTTCAAGTGGATCTTAGCATATTTAGGAAAATGACAAATATTACAAATATTTAGGAAAAAGTGGATCTTTATGCACTAGTAACACAATACTATATTTCTACACGAGTGCGTAAAAGTATTTTTTTATCCGTAGGAGATAAGTAGCGCCCGCCAAAGGTGAGTACCTTCCAAGGGCCAAAAAAACCTTTCCCACGAGTATCGAACCCTATTTTTTGTCACTAGGCGTGAAAAGTGGCATTTTCCGCGCGTCAAGCGTGCGTAAAATTCAACTTTACACACAAATGATGAAATATACTATTCCCACGAGTATCGAACCCTATTTTTCCTCGCCATGTGTCAACAAGTAGCATTTTCCGCAGGCTGAGGGTGCGTAAAATTTAACTTTACGCACAAGTGATGAAATAGTACATTTCGAAGCGAGGGTAAAATTGCGGTTTATCGGACCTAGTGACTAAATATACTATTCCCACGAGTATCGAACCCTTTTTTCCCCATCATGCGTCAAAAAGTGGCATTTTCCACAGGCTGAGGGTGCGTAAAATTTAACTTTACCCACAAGTAATGAAATAGTACATTTCGAAGCGAGGTTAAAATCGCGGTTTATCGGGCCTTGTGACTAAATATACTATTCCCACGAGTACCGAACCCCATTTTTCCTCACCATACGTCAAAAAGTGGCATTTTCCGCCCTCTGACCGTAAACTTGAGCTTTTTACTCCCAAAAAAATCATGCAAAAAAATTCTAAATCTTCAGTTCAAAAGACAATAGATCCATTCTCCGACGAAAAAAAATCTCCCACGACTCGTTAATCCCCATCCACCAACTCCCCAGCAACTCGCGGTTCGTGTTCCCCGAGGCGTGATAATTCCCGAGCTAGCGGAACTTGAAATTAACGAGGAAAAATGGATTTAAAATTCCGCATCCGTTCTAAAATAAAATAACCCCCTGCAGGCCCTTCCCCTGGCCCCCTGGGGTCCCCTGGGACCCCAAGGGCCCCCGAACAACCGAAAAACCCCGCAAAACAAATAAATAAGATGCAAGGAAGCCTCGGAATTCCAGTGTGATAACCGAGGTAGTGAGTCGGCTGACGACGGTTAACCTGGCCCAGAAACCAAGCCGGAACTGTTGGAGGAATCAATGACCTTGGCACGAGTGGATACCAACCGCTACTCGGTGAACACACGCTCTACTCAAACCTCTCATCTCTTTTTTTTTATTCACGTCGATTTACTGTGAATTCCTGGGACTATTCGAATTCCCGGTCAATCCCCGGAATTTGTGCCACTGATTGGGGGTAATTAGTTGATGATTAATTAGCCATTAATGAGATTGATGACGAGAGAGAGAGGGGAACGGAAAATTTTTTTATTTTCAAATATTTCATTTCGATTTTTTTAGCTTTAATTAGATTTTAGAATTATTTATTCTGTGGATTTCAATTTATTTCATTTCTGTTAATTTCATTCGGTGAAGTCATTGATGGAGAATTGATTGTCGATTGCGTGATATATATTTGAGGACTTGCAGAGATTTTTTTCTTGCTAGAATAAATAATGAGATTTGTTTCAAATTTTGGAAATATTATTTTTTGTTGAAGAATTGATTGTTTATTAATTATCCATTAAAAAGTGTAATTTTCCTCAATAATTAGATTCTCTATTTTTTTAAATTTACAAAATTAATGAAAAAATGAGTCATTTCGCATTAATTGATCAGTGAATCCGCAACAATGTTAATTAATAATCAATTCCCATTAATTCCTTAATTAATCGATTAAAAATTATCATGCGATAATTCTCAATCACCAATTAACGAACTAAATAAAGTGTGAATTCGGTAAAATACATGAGTAATTAAGCCGCAATAAAACCTAATTAACCCGATAATCGATCAAATTAATAATGAAATTGGATGAAAAAGAAATCAAAGCGATTTTTCTGTCCTTTGGACTTTTAAATTTCTTGTTCCTCAACAATTGATAATTATCACTGCATTATCAACTCGATAGGCTTAATTATCTCTCTGTACTGTCCCCCGGGGGGTTTTTATGACACTGTGCACGGGATAATTGCGATTCCTGCGTCAGACACTCGTATTTTTCCCGCAATATCTCACTGACGTCTCTCTCCAATTTATTCAAAGACATTTTCATTCGTTTCAAGACATTTATTTGAATTAAATAAATCAATAATTATATAAAATATTTATATAATTATTTATTTAATTAATTAAAGTAATTTGCCTTTCGTATTAATCGATTAAACAAAATAAATTAAAATGAACTGTAAATGAATAGTTAAATAAATGGACTCATTTAGATATTAATTCAAATAAAAAGATAAATTCATTAATTTCCGATAGAAATATTGTTGAAATGAGTTGAATGAAGAGTTTTGCTTCATTCAAATGGCTGCAGACACTAGCATTAGCCTTTCGTATTCATCAATTTAACAAAATAAATGAAAATTAATTGTTAATAAATAATTTTCATGAGTCAATCGATGGAATGATTCAACCACTGACCGACAAAAACTCATTCCTCGCTATTTTTAATTCTCTTATTCAGCAAGACTTATTTTTTTATGTATGACGTCATCGTTCGGATGATGATGACGATGACGAGGAGGCGTCGGTGACGGGTGCTGGGGCGAGGCGCGAGGAGATGCCGGGTAGGAGGAAAGAGCCTGGTGGAATTTCTCAACGGGCCCCCGGCAAGTGGCCCATCAGTTCCTACGGGTCTCTTGTCGCGGATACATACCTTAAAAATCGGTTGGGAATTTCATCTGACTCATCGATTCCTTTCCCGAGTTATTTTCCTTTCGGAAATTCATTCTTTCCCGGGTCTTCCGAGGCTTTGTCGTTCTGAGCTACTTGACGACTTCCGGTTGCGAGTGCAATGTCAAAAAAAATTATTTTTCAATGGGAAATTCAGGGGGGAAATTGGTTAACTGATCGAAGGGATTTTATTTAACTGTTTTTTACGAATATCTCGGAATATAATGGAGATGGCGAAATTATCGTTGAGATGTTTTTTGTGGGGAATTTTAAGAGCTACAAAAAAACTTCTGATGATTTTTTTTATATCTGGCTTGGATTTTGAGATTTTTCGGGAAAACCGGGGGATGGTTTGACTGCAAAATTTGTACATTTGGTCTTGACGATTTTTTTTATTTAATCGAATTTTTTAATTCAATTTTTTTGGGGTAAAGTGACATTTTTAGGCGCGAGTGGTCAGAAAATTATTCTACGGAATTATTTACGTCTTTTTTTACAAAAAAAAAAAGGATTTGTCAGTGGGAAATGCACGAGGAAAATTGTAGAACTGATTGAGGGGATTTTATTTAACTGTTTTATGAATATCTCGGAACATAATAGAGATAGCGAAATTATCGTTAAGAATTTTTTTGTGGGGAATTCCAAGAGCTACAAAAAAGGTTCTAATGACTTTTTTTATACCTCGCTTGGATTTCCAGATTTTTCGGGAAAACCGGGGGATCGTTTGGCTGCAGAATCTAAATTTGATCTTGACGATTTTTTTATTCATTTAAATTTCGGATTTTTTAAAATGAAGTGACATTTTTTATAGGGTGGTTATTAGATAATTATTCTATGGAATTACCAATGTATTTTTTACTAAAAAAAAAGACTTTTCAATGGAGAAAATGAATAAATAAATACAAGATTGTGAAATTTTATAAATTGGAAAAAATTCACCATTAAAAATATAAAAAAATTGCATTAAAAAATGTAAATGAATGTAATGTATTTTTTCAGTGTGACTATCTGTGAAGTGACATTGTGTGATGAAGTGTTTGAAAGATTATTTCACGGAAATTATTCATCGACGAAAATAAATCATCCTCTCCAGGAATACGTGACGTGTATCAGTGAATAAAAAAAATTCATTGGAGCCAGTGCCATAAATTTCGTATCTCGATGTAGAAAAAAAATTCGAATTTTAACTTCAATTTATGACACACCACTGCGTGGAGAACGGGTTCAGGGGGATTCCCCAGGCGCTTCAGGGCCTCAAACCCGGAAATCGAGGGTTTTATCCCGGGACTCAGTGATATGGAAATTATCGGGGAGAGATTGGAGGTTTTTCCAGACTAAACAATTGTTTTTTGTCGACTCGAGGGAGAGATCAATCTTCATTCAGACTAATGTATTGAATTTCCATGAAATTATCCCGGGGTATTTCCTTGTATTCTCAGAAACACCTTTGGTTGCGTAAGAATCTTCATCTCACATTGACCGTTGGATTTAACACGTTGAAAATGGGAATTGATAAAAAATTATTTTCTTTCTATAAAAAAAATATTTATAGAAAAATTTATTTAAAAAAATTATTTTTTTATCGAAGAGAGAAAATTGATTTTCAATTTTTTATAAGAGTGTGACTATTTTCATAAATGAAAAAATTATATTATAAAAAGAAAAAATACATTTCTTAATTCTACAAAAAAAAGAAATTTCTAATTTAAAAAATCAATTTTTTAGAAAAAAAAAATTGATCGTATTCTTCTCTTCTAAAATACGTTTTTTTTGCCTAAAAAAATAATTTTCTTGAATTTTTCATTTAAAAATATCGATTTGTGGTTCATAAAAAAACATAAAATTAAAAAAAAATCATCGAAAAATTAGAATTCTCTGTCAATAAAAAAACCTAGAGAATTAATTGTTGTTTCTCCGTTAAATTTCTTCAAATTACAAAACATTAATTATTTTTAATAACCAATTGATACAGAATTATCTCCAGACGTCTAGCGGACGGACTAATCTCTCAGTATAAATAACAATCCTTTGAAAAAAAAAAGGTCTGAAAAAAAGATCAATGCACCCGGACGATGTCTTCACCGGCCGTCCGGTGCTCACAGGTCGGTGGGACTTTCGTCCGTTTGCAGAGGTCGTATCTCACCAGCCACTCCGAGGGGAGATCAGGCCGGCACCTGTCCTATCAAATGCTGATAATGAGCATTTAAATAAAACCCTGGGACATTTGGAATTTTTAAACAAAAATCGGTGAGTGACGCCATCACGCAGTAGTCACGCGCACGCTGAGTGAAAGATAAACACAAATAAAAGAATTTTTGTTGATCCCGGAGACGAGTGAGTTCAGTTTGTCGTCAATATTCAGCGATTCAAGAGGTAAATAGAATAAATACTCCTCGGAACACCGAAAATATTCCATTGTGAGGGTCTACTCAACACAATTAATCAAATTAAATTCGCAAAATGATAATTACTGGTCAATAAATCGGTTGAAGGCTTTAAAATTTTTTTTTGCCATTTAAATTCTTTTTTTTTAATTTTAATGCTGATATATATATTTTTTATCACTCGCTATTTTTAAAAATTTAAAATAAACAATTAAAATTTAATTAATTATTCAATTGATTTGTTTATTGAAGTCGATAGTAATTTATGAATTTAGAAATTAAATCATTGCTCATTAAATCCAATTTTTGCAATTTTTCATAATATTTGAGCATTTTTAATGATTTTTTTAATTAAAAATAAACAATTAAAAATTGTCTTTTGCTCTGAAAATCGATATCTGTTGATTAAAAGTGAATTTTAATTTTTTTTAAATTTAATCTATTCATTAATTGATTTCAATTCAATTAATCAATGATTGTTTAACTGATTAAAAATATAAATCTATTGATTTGAAGTAATTTTTCATTTTTCGAAGGCTTTAAAATACGTTTTTTTTATTATTTAAACTGTTGTTTTCAATGTTTAATATTAAATAATTTTTTAGTCACGAAAATAAGCAATTAAAAATTGTCTTTTACTTTGTAAACTGGAATCTGTTGATTGAAATAGAATATTCAATTTTTATTTTGAATTGAAAATAATAAATAATTTCATTTCAATAATTTTTAATTCGTTAAAATTTAAGAAAAGTAATAATCAATTATTTTTTACATCCGTTTCTCTTCAATCGATTTCTCCATTTTTGCTAATTCATGTTAATTGAAGTAATTAATAATTTATAATTTCAACCACCAGCAAATGTAAAAATATTTCTACAAATTTCCGCGAATTACCATAAACGAAAACCGGTATAAATTCCTGGTAGCCATCCCGGGGAGTAACATAACGGTCATTAAGTATTCATGAATGATGGTTGACGAGAAAAAGTTTAAATAAAGGAGCGTTATATTTTTTTCGGTGTGATGATTACCCGATGTTTTCTCGAATTTTTTTTAACCATTTATGCAGAATGACGTCGATAGCTGGGAGTGTTGAACCGGTCGAGAAGGAGGTCAAGGTGAAGGAGAGTGTGACCTTGGTGGTTGGAGACACGAAGAGTCCTGAAAAATCCACCAAGGACGCGGTGAAGGGGACTCCTGGGGGCCCAGTGCCACCTGCCCCCCCACGTGCCAAGAAAATTCCTATTGTCGATCCTGTCGCTGTGAGTCTTGAGGAAAAATTAATTTTTCTTCTCGCAAAAAAATTTGTTTTCCATTTGAAATGCAACTCAATTTATTCCTGATGACGTTAATTAATTGAGAAATCAATTGCCGTTGATTGATTATTAATTAATTCATTGATGTATCGCATTAGAAAATTCTGGAATTTTTTTTTGGTTTTTAGTTGTGGGTCAAATGGTCTTTGAGGTTCATTCGCCCCTCAAAGATGAATTTTCCTTGTCGCAGAAAAAATTAGTTTTCTACTCGAAATGCAATTGATTTATTCTTGAAAAAATTAATTGATTGAGGAATTAGAAACTTTTTAAAATTTTTGATTGAGGGTCAAATGGTCCTGATTAATTTTCCCCTCTTCCAAATTTCCAGAAGACCCATATGCCTGCGAATGTTCCAGTGCCCCATAAAATTCGTTCCAACGATCTTCCGGAAAACTCGTACAACCTAAAACCCCTGGTTTTGTCCACTCATCTGGTGCCTTCCCTCCCCATTGAACTATTCGAACTAATCGCGGAAATCATTGAACATTCCACCCAAACTCCCGTTGTCCTGATACACGAGTCGAGGGTCAATCGTCCTGTCGCCACTGAGATCGTGGATATAGGTATCAATAATAATTTTGCTTCAATTTTCAAACAAGAAATTAATCATTAAATACATTACTTAGATAAATAATTAATTAATTCTTTATGCAGAATTAATTAATATAATTAATTAATAATACTATTTTTATTATTAATTATTATTATTAATTAATTATTTATGAATTCATTATTGTTTTAATAAATTAATTCAGCATAAATGTTGAAAAATAATTAATTAATTAATAATTAAACGAATAAACAATTAAATACATAAACAATTGACCAATAAATGCAAATAAATAAATGATTCAATTTCCTGTTGAAAATTCAACGAAATTATTCAATAAATTATTGAGAGAAATTGTTTTTTAGCATTTTTGCCTGCTAGTCAGGAATGGAAGGATGGAAAACTCCTGCCAGTTGGTCTCGTCTTCGATCATCGTCTTAATACTAAAAATGATCCTGGGGTATATGCTGATGTCGTAGTGGCACAGGACATCGCAGAACACATCGAAGTAATTCAATTTTCATCATCGAAATTCGAAGAAAATTTTCATCAATTTTTTTGCGATTAAATCCTCTTTTCTTTAGGATATTATTGACCTTCGGGGGTATAAGGTAGCTCTCCCAGGGAGGTACACGAAGATCGGAGGAGTGGGATTGCTCTTCAATCATCTCAAAACCAAAGGGGAGAGTCCGTCATTTTTTGGAAATACTTTAGGTAAAAAAAAGGAAATGACTTCACAAAATAAAAAAACTATCCATTTTTTCGTGAATATCATCAAAACTACCCGGTTTATACGAAAATGCCATAGAACATTTTTTGTAGCCCATGAAATTCTCCATAAAAAATTTCTTTTGACATTTTTTCTTACACCCATTCGTGCCTAAGTTAAATCCAAAACAAAATCACAAGAAAGTAAGCAAAATTCTCCACAAAAATGAAGCTGATTTTTTTCTTCTTAAAAATGCGCATATCTTCATAACGAGTGGATTTACGAAAAAATGTCAGTAGACACTTTTTATGGGCCATGAAATTTCCTACAAAAAGTTCCCGAGACATTTCTCTCTGAATCCCTTCCCTCCGGAGATATTTCCTCCGAAACAAAAGCCTTTTTGGCATTTTTCCTTTGATCTTCTCTTATCCAACAATTTTTTGTTTTCCACTCCTGAAAAATGCTAGAAAATAAAATATTCCTCTTAATTATGTTCAACCTGTGTTCCCGAAGACTCTGAGACCCAAGTGGCAGCCCTGCAGATGGTGGCCGGCAAGCAGACGGAAGTGGGAGTGATAGAGGCTCCAGTGATCAACTGTCACAGGTACAACCTTCCAGGAGTCAACAATCTCCTGATCCTGGAGAGTCTGGGGCCCCTGCCCCCCTACCAGATCCTGCTGAACCCGAGGGTCCCCCAGAAGACCACAGATCAAATAAAGAGAGGATTTCTAAATGCTAAATCCAATCCCCAGTGGCTGGATCGCCTCAAATCCTTCGGAGCCAGGGGATTCGCCGAGTACTCACAGGACAATTACGACGTCGAGGAGATTAAAACAGCTGTCACAAGTGTCGCCTATTACTGAAGAGTTACAAAAAACTAGGGCAAAAGTCCGACTAAAAACCCAAACTCAAAAACTCGACAAATTGACGAGAATAAAAACAAAAGGAAATGATTTCTTCAGTAAATTTGGCAGATAATCAAAAAACTTTACCCATTTGTTCGTGAATATTATCAAAACTCCTGGGTTTAGAGGAAAATGTCATAAAATATTTTTTGTAGCCCACGAAATTCTCCATAAAAAATGTTTTTTCACATTTTTCTTAAACTTGAAAAATTGAAGGAATTATTCTCAAAAATAACTGATTAAATGCAAAGACTTGGAAATTAGTTGAGAGCTTCACATCTTTATTTTCGTAATAATTTTGTCACCTAATAAAGACTATAATCTACTTACAATTATCATAATTCTTACGATAATCCTACCCCCACGAATATCCGGAAGAATAAACTCAACATAGAAAAAATAACTCCAGAGTAACTAAACGAATTTATACAAATGGAATCTCAAAAAAAAAATTATAAACCTCTGAAAACATCTCTGGATGAATGTAAAAAATACTTAGGCACTGCGAATGACCCCTAAATTCTGAATATGGCACGTGAAAAATGAAGAAACCCCCGGCAGTCTTGGGACTCAAAAATAATTGGCACTTGTCAAATCAATCGAAATAACAATCGACAGTTCACGACTCCTAAAACACGGAGATCAAATCTCCCATCCTAATCCCCTAGACAGGACGAGGGTAAATTAGTTAAGCTCTAGTGATTATTTTTCAGTCTCTGAAGGATTTCAATTGCCATTTGTTGGATACCCTAGTAATAAATTAAATACGAACTCCCTCACATTGAATTCAACCCCCAGTTTTTCGGAAATATCTCGACACCCACTGGACCCACAAAAAAAACCATTAATCCCTTTTCCGTAGCTCTCTTCTCGCTCTCCAAAAAACCTATTAACAAAAAAGTCCGCATCTCCCACAGCTTTTGAGATATTTCCAAAAAGCCGATAGACCCGAAATCAAAATTCCTCATTCAGAACCAAATTTCACCGGCAGTTTTCCCTGAATATCTCCCGATCGGCAGAGTGAAATTCCCCAATTTCTCCTTCACTCCGCAGCTCCGAAAAATCCCCTCAAAATGATCGTAGCCTCCTTGAAATCGCCTCACCACGTCACGAGATATTCTCCTCTAAAACCGCGTCGAAAATCCTGATCGTCGCCTCCAGCTACAGGCCCTCAATCCTCTCATAAAAAATCAAATAAGGATTAGCACATAGAACATCAGTCAACGTGGTCTTCTCCACGACGTTGTCCGAGGTGTAGAGCCACTGCTGGGGCCGATTCCCCCTGCGATAGCACACGAAATGCCCAGTGTCGACCCTCCCCCGATGCTCAATAACAGCTGTGAGCCGATACTTGTGCTTCCCCTGTCCACTGGCCTGACTATTGATCACCAGAACAGGCAGCGTGGCCTGGCCATTCCTCTTCTTGGCCTCATTAAACGTGAAAGGATCGAGCACAAAGACCTCGGGGAATATCACGACGTCGTCCCTCTTGACGGGTGCCCCGGAGGATCCCCAGGTGGTCCTGAGCACGTGAATGCACAGACATCTCGGCAATTTCCCCATCGTCAACGTCTTCATGGCCGGCGATCTCGTCCCGCAGCCGTCGCACTCGACATTGTTGATGATCTCGCTGGTCACCAGCCTCGAGAACAACTTCCCCAGGGTGTGACGCCGCCAGGGGAGGCCCTCCCCGGCCGGTGGCAGGGGCAGAGAGACAGTCTCCAATTTGTCGTATCTCACTGGCGACCTCCACTGGCACCTCGTGCACTTCAACTGACTCGTTAAGAACCCAGAGAACGGATGGTTCTCGTTGGCGAGGGGCGCCGTCACCTGGGGAATTGCCATCAAGGACGTCCAGGCAGCCCTCAGAGGGCTCTCCAGTGCCTCCTCCTTCAGGTACTTCGTGAGGACCTCTGAGGACCTCGCGAGGATCACTCCGGGCTTCTTCGTGGAGAGGGGGGGAATTGATCTCGTGGATGAGGTCAGGGGGTTCGTTGGGAGTTCGGAGGGCTTCAGGGGCTTTGAGGGGTCCTCCTGGGGGATGTCGTTGCAGGAGACACTTCGGAGGGTTGGGGGGTCGGAGGGGGGCGGGGAGGAGGGGAGGGCGTCGGAGAGACAGCCGCGCTGCAATTAAATCGAAAGATTTTTCGTCTGTTTGGGGAATGCTGGGGGTGTATTGATAATTTGGGAGGGCTTCGAAGATGATTTGGAGAGATGTAACAGAATTTTGAGGGAGAAACTGAAGGAGAGGAAATTCGGGGGAAACTGGGTGAAGGGAAATTAATGGGATTTAATGAATCGTGAGGTGACGTTGGCTGAGGGGAATTGAACTTTTTTCATTCTGAAGGGGTTTTTGGAAGCTTGGAATTAATGGTGATGGTATTTAAGGGGAACCATTCACTTGGGAGATATCGATAATTTAAGATCGTTAATTACAAGTCATCTACTCATTGTTCTGCTAATTTTGTTTTTAAAATCAATTTTGCGTCTGAAAGAGATTTAGGGTAGGGTTAGGTCTGGGAGATGCTAGGGAAGAGCGTCAGCAAGGTGTCAAGAAGCTTTGGAGACAGGAAAAAAATACAACCTAAAAAACCCTGGGATAACGAAATTTAAGAACCAAATGCAGAACTAAAAAAGTCCAATAACGAAAAAAAAAATCGAGGATTGAGTCCAGATCTAGGAGAGGTCTATCAAGCGCATCAACAAGCTTTTTAAATCTACAAAAAAAATCCAACCCGAAAAACCCCTGAAATAACAAAAAATAAAAAAAATCCAAATTCAGAATAAACCGCTCAAATAATGAGAAAAAAAATCCAGGATCGAATTCCGACCCTGGAGATGGCCATCAAGAGTGTTACCAAGGTATCAAGCTCACCAGCAGGCCCACAAAAAAATTAGATTCCCCCAAAAACGGAATAAAAATAATAACGACTTAAAAAAAAACTTTAATAATAAAAAATCCCAAATAACAAATTTTAAAAAAATCCAGGATTGAATCCAGATCTTGTAAAAGTCCATCACGAGGGTCACTGAGGTATCAAGCTCACCCCCAGCCCTTCAAAAAAATTAAAATCTCCCAAAAACCGAATAAAAACCCAAATAACAAATTGAAAAAAAATCCAGGATTGAGTCCCGATCTTGTAAAAGTCCATGAAGAGGGTCCCTAAGTTATCAAGCTCATCCCCAGGCCCACAAAAAAATTAAAATCGCCCAAAAACCGAATAAAAACCCAAATTACAAATTTAAAAAAAACCTTAACAAGAAAAACTCCAAAAAACAAATTTAAAAAAAAATCCAGGATTGACTCCAGATCTTGTGACAGTCCATGAAGCGGGTCACTAAGGTATCATGCTATCCCCAGCCCCCCAAAAAATTAAAAACCCCCAAGAAAAACTCGACTCACCCTAGTTGGCGTCTGTGCTTCATTCTGCAGTGCCATCAGGACGACATGAAACAAGTCATGAGCATCCTGATACCCCGGATCGAAGCTCCACAGTGCCCCCAAGGAGGTTATAACCTCGATGGGAGCCACATCCCCATAGAGGTCCTCCGAGAACCCATTGATCCTGTCCAGGACGAGAATTAAATTGCTGGTGAAGCTGGTGGCCTTGCTCCTGGCTGCCCTCTCATTCAGCCACTTGAGGAAGGTCGGGCATGCCCCCAGGGCCTGCAGAAGTGAGTTCAGAAAGCAAGTGTACCCCAGGTTCGTTATCCCAGCGACTTGACCTTAAAAAAACGATTTACGAAGTCATTTCGCCTCATTTTCCCCTCAAAGTAAAAAAAAAAATCAATTTTAGGGGAAAAAAAAGGGGTCAATGTATTTTGGGGACTCACCTCTTCTCCTGGGCCTGGGGGTGGGCCCCCAGAGGACGAAGGCACCCACTCCTATGGCGAAACCAATGCCAGCAAAGACCAGCCTCTCCACGTCCATTTCCCAATTATTTAGATCAATTTATCCCAAATTATTTGAGGATTCACCGGCGGATTTTTCTTCTATCTCGAGGGATCCTGGGAATTTTTCTTGTCACTGATCACATCTGGGATGATGTGAATATTGTGAGGATGGGGTGTCACATGGGGACTGAGAGAATTGGTGTCAGGGAACTCGAAACTGTTTATTTATGATTTTTTTCTCGAGACTAAGTGTCTGTTGTTTTCTTCTTTTTGGTGGTTAGGACGCAGATTCGGTCACGTGACTGAAGCCTGACTGTTGGCGCGAGATTTGAGTGGATTGAAATCAGGATAAATGATCGGTGGGAGAAATGATTGATGATCAAAAAAAAATTGAGGGATCAATAAGAGAATGATTGGAAAATAATGAAAAAAGATCTGGGAAATTGAAGGGTCATAATTATTAATAAAATGATAAATAAAATACTAATAAATATCTTTTAATTAAATTAAATTATTAATAATTATGACCCTTCAATTATAAATAATTGAATTATTATGATTAATAATTGAGTTATTAATATTTAAATTTAACGTAAAATTATAATAATTATTAAAATGATGAAAAAAGATCTAGGAATTGATGGATCATTTGAATCATTGGAAAATCATGGAACAACCATCAGATTTTTTTTGCGCTGCATCAGCTTTTTTCCTAAAAAGTCCAAAAATGCAATATAATAATTTATTGGTTCTCATATTCCTCGATTAATTAACAATAATTATTGTACTAGGTAAATGGAAAGGTTTATCATCATAAATTGGTCATTTGAGGGGATGAGGTTTAAATTGTTGAGATTATTCAGAGGCAACTCCGGCGATAGCTGCGCCCAGTGCGGCATCTCCAGAATGTCCAAGCTCAAGGGGAAGCTTGTACCAGTGCTGAACCTCTTTCTGAAGGACTGGATTGCGCACTAGGCCCGAGCCATTCCCCACAATCTTCTTTATTCCCTTTTTCTTGAGGATCTCTTGAGACATCATGCTAGTGAAAAATTGAAAACACGGCGAAATCATGAGTTGACGTATCTGTCAATCATACTGATGACTTAATTACGGTTATTAATGATTTTTTAACCCACCTATGGAGATTTTGAATGACTCCAGAGCACAGGGACCTGAAGACGGTCCCCAGGTGGAGTGTATCAAGACTGATTCCTGTGACACTAGCTGTCTTGTGAGGATCATGACGTTCACCCAGGAGAAGAGGCTCAATCCTCATAGAACTGACTGCCGAGTCCTCCTGACCGAGGGAAATCAACTTCTCCCAAACTCTCGCTGTTAAAAAATAAATAATTTATCTATTTTTTGAGTTTTTTGTTAAATTTTCTAACAAAAAATCGAAAAATAAATGAATTCTTCATTGAGTTTTTTATCAAAAAATTAAACAAAATGATTTTTTTAAATAAATAAATAAATAAAATAATTTATTTTTAAATAAATAAACTATTGATTTTGTTTTTTGTTAAAAAATTAAACAAAAAACTCAATAAATTATTTATTTATTGACTTGTCCATTAAATTTCTTAATGGCACAAGAATTGATAAAAATACAGTGAAAAACGGAAAATTCATGTCGAGAAATTCCCCGTAGAAAATTTCTCAATAAAAAATTGAAGAAAAGAATGAAATTCTCCTGAATTTTTCTATGAAATTAATATCTCGGTGTTCCCTCTCACATTGAGGAACCGAGAACCCCAGGTCCATGGTCCACTGCTGCAGCATTTTCACGAAGCTAGCCAGAGTGTTTCCCCCATTGAGGGAAGCAGCAACAGCCAAGTACTCCCCACCAAAGTACGGAAAGTACTCGATGCTGCCAGAGTCCCCAGCCTCCCCCCTGAAGTCCGGATGCACATAAGTCAGTTGTGCCGAGGTGGAGATGTTCATGACAGCCTCGTCCTGGCCCTTGAGAAGTGCGAAGACCGAGCACTGGAGGTCCCCGAGGGCGACGCCAATGGGCACCCCCGCAGGGACGCCGAACCACGTGTGCCCCAGGTGCCCAGCGGTTTCCCCAGCTCTGAGGATCCTCTTGGGCAGCAGTTCCACTGGGAAATTCGCCTTCTCCATGGCCTCCACCTCGAACCTCCCCTCCTCCGTCAGAAAATACCCAAAACTCGCTGCATTCTGATAGCTCATGGCCACATCCTCAGTCCCACAGAGTAAATTCACCATCAGATCTTGAACCGTACCGCATCTGTTGTATTTAGCCAGTTTTTCAGGTCTAGCAAATGAAAATAAACGATCGAGACATGGAGATTAGTCATTTATTCTGGGAGTTATTTATTATTTCAAGGGAGAAATATCGATTTTACTTATTCCGGGCGAACCAGAAGAGGGTGGCACACCCGTAGCCCGGGTGAATCGGCAGATGGCTGGAGGAGGGGGGAAGGCTCTTCAGAAAATTACTGTCACAACGGCTGTCCTGCCAGGTGTAGAGGTGCGATACCTGGGTCTTGTCTATCTCGAGTTTGAAAGTTTTTTCGTTATCGTGGGGTGGGGGTTGGCATTTCCAGAGGGTGACTCCGTGCATCTGGCCACAGACACCAATTGTCGTCACCTGAGGGGAGATTAAAGGAGGAAAAATAATGAAGACCCTGAAAATTTTTTGATTTTTTTAAAAATGATTTTTAGAGTTTTCACATAATTTATTTATTTTTCTTTTAGTTTTCATTTTTCCGAGCCTTGTGACCCTTATTCTGACCCTCATAACCCTTGTAACCCTTACTCGGACCCTCGTGGCCCTTATTCTGACCTTTTGCCCCTTATTTTGAGCCTCGTGAACCTTATTCTCACCGTCATGACCCTTATTTTGACCCTCGTAACCCTTATTCTGACCTTTATGATCCTCATGACCCTCGCGACCTTTAATTTCGGAGTCTTAATTTCGAGTCCCAAATTTTCATCACCAAAAGTCGATTTTAATTTCAATAATATAAAGACATTCAAATTGACTGTTAATTTAAATTTAAATTTTACTCCAAACTCTACGTTTAAAAATAACATTTCACAATTTATTCATTTCCTTATTTATAAGACTTGGCATTCCACATTAATTAATTAATGTTCAAACCACCGCATCTTGCTGTCGACCTCATAAACTCAATTTTCTTAATAAAAAAAAAAAATCTGAAAAATTAACGTGTTAATTAAATTCCAAAATGATTTACCTGTCGTAATAAATCCTTAGGCAGCCTGGAGACGCAGCTGTGCACAGCAGACAAAATTTTCGGTACATCCTGCTTGTTCCCATCAATCCCCAAGTCACTGGGCACATTGGCCTGCGTATCCTTCGACTGTTTCGCAATAATCTCCCCCCTGTTCCTGGCGTACACAACCACCTTGACCGACGTCGTCCCCAGGTCGATGCCCAGGGCCAATTTTCCCTGCGACATTTTCAAGTTTTTCACGGATTTACGACTATTCCCCAAGCGCAATGCAGCCACTCAGCCCGCGACTATGATCTTGATAAACTACTACGTAATGCTCCTATTACTCTATCAATTCGAATAGTTACCCTCAATCTTTCATAATCAAGCATTGGATTAAATCAGAAAGACGATTCAACTTCTACGTCAATTAAAAATTCAAATCAACGTATTTTTAAAATTCAAATATCAATAAATTTATTTTTAAAATTCAAATAATCCAGTGATTTCTGGTTTAAACAGAATTATTTTTGATAATTAATTTCAATGAATTCTTGTGAAAACATTGAAATTGGGAATTGAATAAAAATTTTGGCAATTGTGACTATTCGGTGATGTCAAAACGACAGAGATGCCAGCCCTTCCCCCCAACTAAACCACTATTCTTAGAATCCACTCAAAAAACTCCGCCTTTAGCTATCCCCGACAACCCAATCTATTGTTTTCCCCCCTTATCAGTTGATAAAGTCACCGAAGCAACTGCAGTAACAGCAAGTCCCAATGTACCTCACCGTCTGCCTCAGTCTCGCTCATTCCGGGGTCATCAATAGATCAATGAGTGGAACAATTAAAAAACCATCTCCCACTGATGAATTATATAACCACTGGCACTCGTCTCTCATCGGAAATCCATTTTCCTCTGTTTTTACATTCAAAGAATTTCGAGTTCACCTGCCGCATGTCCCGGGGACACGTAGCGAAGTGTAAAAAAGTTTAAAAAAACCACTTCATTCGAGCGAAAAAAAGGAATTCCCAGTCGAAATTTATCGGTTGAGTCGGAAGAGTGCATTCCTCTGACGCCAGATGTCAATGAAATTGTCTGACAATTCGGGGGGGGGGGACAATTCCATGTTTGAAAACAATTACATCACCAACGTCTGGCTAATCTTTGGAAAATTCTAAAATAAAATTACATTATATTAATCCGATAAAATTTTTCATCTCCGATTTTTATTCTTTGCCATTTTTTTAATGTATTCTATCAAAATGTTAGGATAGAAATTCAATTGATGGGTATTCTTTCATTATTTGAAAAAATATATCAATTTTAAAACTTTCCGGAGACACTGAAAAATCGAAATTGTTGTTTTGTTACGAATCGATCATCATCCCAACAAAAAGTATCAATACTCTCCTCATTATTCATCATAAATATCTCTTCATTTGAAAATGAGAAAAACTGTTCCCTCAATTTGTATACTGCAATGGGAATAGAATCCAATAAATTTAATTTAATCTGACCGCAAAGAAAAATTGGAAAGAAAACAATAAAATAAATAAGTATAATGTAATATAATCTAGGAACGGGCACAAAGCGCCCAAAAATTTCAAACATGCCATATTCTGTTTTTACGTCGAAATAATCCATTGTTTCTTTGAGTCTTGTGATATCAAGACTTATATTGCTCAAAATCGTTTCATCCTCGAGCCCTTTGATAACAAGGAAAATTGAAAATTTTCATGTTTGAAAACATCACCAAAAAAAAAAAACTTGAACTCCAAATCTCAATGTAAGCGAGGCGTGTATTACCCCACAGAAGTCTCTCCGCACCTCATAAAAAAATATGTACAATGTAGTGAATTAATAATTATTTACAGTCCTAGCCGCGCCGGAGTCTTCCTGTAAGGTGCTGGAGTCCCCGGCTCTCTGATGCCTGGCGTCAATATTTCTTTCCTGCAAACAGAAAACAAAAAATCACAAAAAATTAACGACGCCAATAATCAACACCTCAAGTGATATTAATGTCAATTCAGTAGCGAAGCGGTAAACCGGGTCAAGTCGATTTTGACTTTTGGCCATTTTTTGACAAATATCTCGGAATCTAAGAGAGATAGCAAAATTTTGCTCATTACCTTTTTTATAACCCTCAGTTGACTCTACAAAAAAGGTTATGACAAAAATTTTTCTATCTCTTTTAGATTCCCAGATATTCGTCAAAAACTGGCCAATAGTCAAAATCGACTTAACCCGGTTTACCGCTTGGCTACTGAGTTAAAGTGTCATAAATTCAACATTTTAACGACCGACAAATCATACTTCCTGACAGAAGCCTGTTCCTTCTCAAGCTGCTCCTTGGCCCTCGCCTTCATCTCCTCCTCCGCCGCCTTCATCTGTCCCTCCATCTCCTGCAGATGCTGCACAGCCTGCCGCCTCTTGGCCTGTCCACTCCCCGTCTCCTTGACACTGAAGAACATGGGCCCGAGCTCCGCCAGCCAGTGCCCATCAACAGCCGTGACACACTGCATGTACTCCTTAGCAGTCATCACGAGTTCGTGATAAACGACGTAATCAGGAGTGAATCCCATGCCGAAAAGCGCCGAAGTCGGATGAAGATAGCAAGGCATTCCAGTCCTGCAATTGACGTACTCCCCGATGCCCTTGAGTCTGGCAGCCTGATGAAAGTAGGCAGAGCAGATGCACTTCCTGACGATGTCCCAGTCATTTCCACAGCTCGTGAGTTCAAGCTTCTGCTGTTTGAGAATCTCCTCCAGCTGCTGCCTGACCTCCCGCACCTTCCTCATGGCCTTGGCATGAATGAAGTGATCGTTGCACCAGGAGCTCGAGTACCCATTGACCTTCCACTGCTGGTAGACGTGGAGAAACGTCAGGTGATCGGACTCGGGCACCTGGAACTTCTCCCTGGCTGAGTCAGAGTCCTCCTCCCTGCCTTTTGGCCTGTAAAATACCGAAGGCACCGACAGCATGGAGACGATGATGAGGATCTCCGCTGTGCACCCCAGCTGCGACGCCACGATCAGCATCTGGCACTGGGGAGGATCAAGAGGAAACTCCGCCATCTGCCTGCCTAGGGGCGTGAGTCTCCCGGTGTTGTCGAGAGCCCCTAGAATCCAGAGCTGATAGAGGGAATTGAGGATGTTGTCCTGCGGCGGAGGGTCCATGAAGTGGAAGGCCAGCAGGTCCTGCACCCCCAGAGACTTCAGTAGCAGAACGGTATTGGCGAGGTTGGTCCTCTGGATCTCGGGGACTCCAGTGAGCAACAACTCGTCGAGGTACTGCCTCCTGGTGTAGAGCCTGAAGCAAACCCCTGGCCCCGTCCTCCCGGCCCTTCCACTTCTCTGATCAGCATTGGCCCTCGACACCGGATACACCTGCAGGGCGTCCATGCCGATCCTGGGGTTGTAGACCTTGAGCTTGCAGTAGCCAGAGTCCACGACGAAGACTATCCCATCGACAGTTAGAGACGTCTCCGCGATGTTTGTGGCGACCACGCACTTCCTCAATCCCCCCTCGGACTTCTGGAAGATCTTGGCCTGCAGATCGGAGGGCAGCTGCGAGTAGATCGGCAGGATGAGGAGCTCCGGGGCTGAATCGATCTCCCCGAGTCTCTCCTTCAGGGCCTCGCAAGTCACCTCGATGTCCTCCTGACCCGGCATGAACACCAGGACATCCCCGGACTTTGGCTGCAGGTGAATCTGCAAGACCTGCTTCACCGCAGCGTCAACGTAGTCCTCCACGGGGTTCTTCGCGTGGATCGTCTCCACGGGAAAGGTCCTCCCCGGGATCTGGAAAGTCGCGGCATTACCGAAGAAGGCGCTGAACTTGCTCGAGTCCATGGTCGCCGAGGTGACGATGAGCTTGAGATCGTGGCGGCGCGCCACAACTTCCCTCAGCAAACCGAATAACACGTCTGTCGACAAGGACCTCTCGTGCGCCTCGTCCATGATGATGACGCTGTACCTCTCCAGGTCGCCCTCCCTCAGGCTCTCCCGCAGGAGGATACCGTCGGTCATGTACTTGATGACGGTCTCCTTGGAGGTGCAGTCTTCAAACCGAATGGCGTAGCCGACCTTGTCCCCGAGGGCGGACGCCATCTCGTCGGAAACGCGTTTCGCCACTGACATTGCGGCGACCCTCCTCGGCTGGGTGCAACCGACCATTCCGTTTCTGCTGTAGCCGTCCTCGTGGAGGTACTGCGTCAGCTGCGTCGTCTTGCCGCTGCCGGTCTCCCCCACGATGACGACCACCGAGTTCTCCCGGATGATAGTCATGAGCTCCTGGCGGACCGCGAAGACCGGGAGACTCCTGCGCTGGGCGAGGATCTGCCGGTGCCGGGAGTCCGAGTTCTCGGACGATGCCATGTGCCTCGCGTACTTCTGCCCGGCCTTGAAGTCCGTCTCCTCCGCCGGGGCCTCCCTGTCCTCCTTCCTCTTGTCCTTGACCCCCATTATGTTCCCGAGGTGCGTTCCCGAGAGATCCCAGTGCTTCTTCTGCGCGCGTTTCCGCTCCTTCTGCTCTCTGTACGCCCGCACCAGGGCCGACCCCTTCCGGGCGACCAACGCCATGTCCGACGTCGGATCGCGGACCGGAACCACCGGCTCCGGCTGCTTTGTGAAGACAATCCTCCCGTCGAGGAACGGCGGCACCACGTTGTGCACCAGGAGGTGGACCCGCGCCTCGCCCTCGTCGTCCGGGTCGTTGTCGTGCTCCAGCGAGCTGACGACTCCGGACGTCAGCATTCTGTTCCTCTCCCAGAGCTCGTTGTCCTTGTTGATCTGCCTCTGCTGGGCCGACACCCGCTTCTGGCGCTTCGCCTCCAGCTCCTGCTCCTTCTTCTGGGTGTACTCCTCGGAGACGTCGAAGTGGTGCCCCTCCCCGTCGTCCAGGCCGTACCACTCGCGGTCCAGCCTCTGCTGCTCCTCCTCCCAGAGCTCCGCGTCCTCCCCCTCCACCAGCGGAGTCCCTCCCGAGGGCTTTCTGTCCTTGTTCCAGGGGTTGTACTTGTAGGAGGGGGTGAACTCGCTCCTCATGGAGTCACGGTGATCACGACCGTAGGCCTTTGGCGTCGGGTGGTCCCAGCTGGACTTCCTCGGCTCCTCCTCGTCGTCGTCGTCCCAGTTGCTCTTGGATGTCGGGTCTCGCGTCCGGAAATGGGGCGTCCGCGGCTCGTCCTTGAACCTCGGCGTCGAGCGGGAGCTCTCCGAGCGCTCGCGGCTCCGGCTTCGGGCCCGCCCCTCGCGCCGGCGGTTACGGCGGTCCTGGAGGTCCAGGCGCTGCTGACGCAGGCGGTCCTCCAGCCGACGCTGCGCATCCCGGTTCACTCCACCCGTGTGCGTCGGCGTCTCCTCCGTCGGGTTTCGGTAGCTTCGGTCCTTGTGGTCTGGTCGCGGTCCTCTGGGGGCCCTCGACGGCGCATCCTGGGAACTCTCGCGGCGCTTCTTCTCCGCTAGCTTGTCCAGACCGAAGACCGAGGGCAGGGGCTTCTTGAATGTGTGGTCCGACGGCTTCTTCGACAGGATCAGACCCCCGGGCTGCGATCTGTCGCTGCCCTCCAGGCGGTACAGGTCCGGGGGGTCGGACATGGGCAATCGGGGTTCTATCCGCGGTCTCAAGCACTTTCGCAATTTTTTGGGGATTGTTTAGGTTTGGAAACGGCAGGGGAATGGGTTAGGGAGAGGCGAACGGTTTGGTCACTGATTTTCAGGTTATGGTCGAGGTGGGGAAAGGGAGAGGGGAGGGCGCTGGGGGGGAAGCGCGAAATACTGTAATTTTGAATCGCCGCGGGGGTTTTTTGGTTTTTTTTTTATAGAATCGAAGGGTTGGGATCGGGAATAAAGGTTTGATGGTTAAAAACTGATTTTGGGATATAAAATGTTGGGAGAGGATGGGGAATAGTCAATTATTTGGAGTTTGTGGGTATTTTAAGGCTATGAAATAGCTAATTTTCTATTTTCGAGGGGAGAAAATATATTTTTTTTATAGAATCACGAGGTTGTGAGAAAAAAAAAGTTTGATGGTTAAAAATTGATTTTGGGATATAAAATGTTGGGAGAGGATGGGGAATAGTCAATTATTTGGAGTTTGTGGGTATTTTAAGGCTATGAAATAGCTAATTTTTTATTTTCGAGGGGAGAAAATATGTTTTTTTTTATAGAATCACGAGGTTGTGAGAAAAAAAAAAGTTTGATGGTTAAAAATTGATTTTGGGATATAAAATGTTGGGAGAGGATGGGGAATAGTCAATTATTTGGAGTTTGTGGGTATTTTAAGGCTATGAAATAGCTAATTTTTTATTTTCGAGGGGAGAAAATATGTTTTTTTTTATAGAATCACGAGGTTGTGAGAAAAAAAAAAGTTTGATGGTTAAAAATTGATTTTGGGATATAAAATGTTGGGAGAGGATGGGGAATAGTCAATTATTTGGAGTTTGTGGGTATTTTAAGGCTATGAAATAGCTAATTTTTTATTTTCGAGGGGAGAAAATATGTTTTTTTTTATAGAATCACGAGGTTGTGAGAAAAAAAAAAGTTTGATGGTTAAAAATTGATTTTGGGATATAAAATGTTGGGAGAGGATGGGGAATAGTCAATTATTTGGAGTTTGTGGGTATTTTAAGGCTATGAAATAGCTAATTTTTTATTTTCGAGGGGAGAAAATATTTTTTTTTTACAGAATCACGAGGTTGTGAGAAAAAAAAAGTTTGATGGTTAAAAATTGCTTTTGGGATATAAAATGTTGGGAGAGGACGGGGAATAGTTGATTATTTGGGTTTTTGTAATGAGTTTTAGGGTATGTTTGGATGGGGAAGGGGAAAGTGCGCGAAATAGTTAATTTTTTAAAGATAAAAATTGGTTTTTCGAAGGAAACTGAAGGTTTTGGTGAGAAAAAATAATTTGGTGTTTGAAAATTGTTTTTGGGACATGAAATGTTGATGAAATAAATTGTTTTTTTAATTGAAAATGCTAGGAATTAATGGTTAATGCGTAATTAAATAGATTTTCGAGTCTAGACGCATTATTAGGAAAAAAATTGAGGGAAAATAGTGATTTTTTGGATCAAAACTCTTGTTGAACTGATTAAAACATTTAGATTATGAAAAAAAATCATCTAAAATTGTGATCTGAATTGTGAATTTAAAAAAATCTTAAATTTTTTTGTTACTCGAATGTTTCAATTTACTTCCAATTGAAAAATTTAATTCAAAATTTTGGTGATTACCTATGGATTTGGGAGAAATAATGGGCAATTATATCCTGCACAGATGTTTAAATTTATTCAGCACAGATATTTTATATTTTTATACAAGTAGAATGGAATAATAAAAATACTTATATTATACCAATCTTGTTGGCGACATCGAGTGCATCGTAGTCACGAGTGAGACGTACGTAAGCCTTCTTCTTGCCATCGGGCCTGATGAGGGTGTTCACTTTGGCGACATCGATGTCGTAGAGCTTTTTCACTGATGCCTTGATGTGGTATTTGTTGGCACGTGTGTGCACAATAAACACCAGAGTGTTGTTGTCCTCGATTTTCTTCATGGCTGCCTCAGTCGTGAGGGGGAATTTTATGATGTTGTAGGCATCCATTCTAAAAATAATAACAAATCGTCATCTTCAATGTCACTTTTACTTAAAATTCAATTTATTCTGAATAAAGTTTTATTTTTATTTCAAAATCATTTTGAATAAATCTTAATTCGACACAAAATTTTTAATTTCAGGACAAATGATAGCACGCGCTAGAGGCAATATACCATAATCAAAAATAAATAATAAATAAATTGATGAACAATTATGAAAAAAGAGGTTTAAGCATTTTTTGTGGAGAAGTTTGTTACCTGTTCCTGTTGGGGACAGATTTTCGCTGGTACTTTGGATTCCTGGGGGGTCTGAAGGTCTTGGGACGGTGGAAATGAACCGAAGTCCTGATTTTTCTCACACGAGAGCCATGGACACCCTTCAAGATCTGTAATAAATAAATTTTTAATGATTAAAAATAATCCTCGGGAGAATTTCACACTAGACGAGACCATTAACTCAAAATTAACTTCACGAATCAAATTTCAACACAAGAATTTAATAATTAAATCAATCCTGAAAGCACTCCTGAATTTTCGGGGATAAAAAGTAATTTTTTAAATCAAAGTTCTACCCTAAATCAGAAGATAATCTCTTTTGAGAATTGATTCAAGATAATTCTCCAGACTCAATTAAAATGACGAATAAAAATGTTTTCAATGATTATTTCCCTCTTCTTCACACGTTAACATTGAAAATAAATTTTAGATTTTAATCTTCAAAAAAAAAATTGATAAAAGTCTTCAAAATTGAAGTTTGAAGAAAATTGAAGTAATTAATTTTTTACCTTCTTCTGGGCCTTGAGAGCCTTCTGAAGAGGTGCAGCCTTTCCACCCTTGGGTGTCTTCTTGCCAGGTGCAACATTCTTGACCTTGGGCTTGGCAGTCACTGGCTTTGGTGCTGCTTTGGCTGCAGGTTTGGCAGCATTCTTGGCTGCCCCCTTCTGGGTCTTGGCTGCTGCCTTGGCAGCGGGCTTGGCAGCCTTGGCTGCATCCTTAGCTGGCTGTTTGGCCGCTGGTTTGGTCACCTTGGAGGTGGAGGCAGCTGTCGCTGGCTTCTTCTCCGCTTTCTTCTCGGTCTTTTTCTCGGCTGGCTTGCCAGCTAAACTCATGCAATTTAAAAAAAATTATGAAATAAGTAAGTGATTGAAATGATTAATTACTGGATTTACTTCACTTGTTCTTCACAAAAAATTCCCTCTTAAATTAAGTATTGCTCCCAACTAATTTATAAATCATCACAATTTAAGGGAATTTCATACTAGACGAGGCGATGAACTTGAAATAGAATAGAATTTATAAAAATTAAACTGAATTATTGAAAATTATCAGTGCGTTCTCGATAAATGAATAAGAGACTTTAAATGATTGAAAACAAATGATTATTTCGTGTTTTTATGATAAATGTTGAGCAAAAAATTTATTCCTGAAGTAATTATTCCACTTTTTTCGCTAATACATGAACGAAATGCATCAAAATAATTTTTTATGGGTAAAAAATCATCAATAAAATCCAAGAAAACCTACAAAATCGTGAAAAGGAATCAAACAAGCAATTATCTCACTTTTTCATCATTAGAAACTGCTTTATAAATCGATCATTGCGTAAACAATTCGACAAATTACCACAATAATTTTAAAAAAATGTAGGAACTAATCTCAAAGCAAGAAACATAACCTAAAACCCCACAAATACTCTCCAACATTTTTACTCACTTATTTCCCCCAAAAATTCACTTTAAAAAAATTTCAAAAAATATTAACAATTATTCACACTCGTCTATTGTTCATTAAAAATTATTTTTCATGTAAATAATGGTCCCCATGTGACTGACACGAAGCACATGGCCCCCCGTCCCGAGAACTTCACTTCAAGCACGAAAAAAATGTAATTAATTCTGCAAAAATTGTGAACAAAAACCAGGAGATGGATTATTACTTGGGGATGATGATTTTTTTGGGTGATTTTGGTGATAATTGAGGGTAACTAACGAAAACAATTACCTGCTTTGTCCGTGGGCTTCGGTTTGGGAGCCATTTTGCTGAAAAGGACTGGACCGAGCGCCGGAAATTGACTGACAAGTCACGACTACTCGATTCAAATCAACATTTCGGGTATTTTACCGACCGAGGGTCAAAATGTCACCCCCCACCCCGGGAAAAACTTGAACGTGCACCTGTCACAGCAACCAATGTTGTTTTTGTGGGGAAATTGACAACAGAAGCTGGAGTTCACGTCCACTTGATTGTTGAATTACGAAAAAATAACTAAAATTGTGGAAATAAAGTTGAGATTTTTGTTTTATTTTTGATAAGGCCATTGGACGATCTTTTCAAAATTGAGGGCCAGGAATTTTGGGACAATTCACTCGTTCTGGGTAAAATAATGCTGGAGACGCGATCGGCTGTTTATAAAATGCTGAAGCCAGTGGCTAATGAAGAAAGAAGAGTGAGTAATTGAGTGAAAATTTTACTTGATGAAAATAAATAATTTTAGACGGAATTTTGTTTTTGATGAAAATTTCGTCAGCTACAAAAAAATTGTTTTTATATTTTCTTAGAGCCATTTGTTAACGAGACAAATTAAAAAATAATAAACCATTGAATTTGACTCCGAGGAAATGAAGTGAAACGAAGATTTTCAATTCATCAAGAGTTAAATGATTGCAAAAATCGGATAATTTCACTCTGCCGAATTCATTCTCTCGTTCGTTCTCTACTAGAGGGCGTTGGCCCCGCTCGCTTCGCTCGTTCCGCTCACTCCGCTCCCACTGCAACGAAAAAATGCAACAATTTGCTGCGGAATTTTTTTTTCAATGAAATTAATTTTTTTGTATTAATTTCAGATTGTAAATTGGCCTCCCCCGTTTTCCAGTTCCATAACACCTTATAAGCAGCGAGAATTTAATAATCTAGTGCGTCAGGCGTGCTCATCAGCGGCAACAGTCCCAAGAATAGCTAAAGTAATTGTTCTGGGTGATGTAGCAGTCGGAAAAACGTCTCTGGTGAATCGGTAATTTCCAATAAAAACGGCAATACAGCGGACGAATTTCCGGAACTATTAAAAGGCCTCGGGAGTGAAAGAAGGACTGGAAAGAATTTCCAGCCGACAAAATATGCAAAAATCTGAAGGATAGCTTGAAAAATTTCCATAAACTGCACGAAACGAGTTAAAAATGATCTCGAGAGGATGAAAAATTTAAATAAATGTTCAAAAATACGAGGTGGTCAACAGGTATGGGCGCCATCTTGCTGGGCTACCCCCTCCCTCTTCCGCAATGGGCTTCAAAGATGGCGGCGCCCCCACCTGGCATTTTTAAACATTCATTAAAATTATTTATGCTCTTTAGATCACCTTGAACTCGCTTTATCCGGTTTTTATAACGTGATCAAATTTTTTAAGCCATCTTTCAGATTTTTCTATTCCCTGATGACTGAGAATTCATGCCGCAAAGTTTTCCCGCGAATTTCACGAGTTTTTTTATCCATTTCCATAATTCTTGTTTCCTCTCGAGACCTCTCCATCAACAATCTTGTATTCAATAACAATTTTTTCAGCTTCTGTCACAAAAAATTCGATAACAACTACAAAGCAACGATCGGAGTGGACTTTGAAGTCGAGCGATTTGACATTCTTGGAGTCCCCTTCAATTTACAAATGTAATTTCACGATCAATTTCATCATAAATTGTCATTAACAATTAATTGAGACATCTATTTCGTCACTTCTAGATGGGATACAGCGGGTCAAGAGCGATTCAAGTGTATCGCAGCATCTTATTACAGGGGTGCCAACGGTAAGCCCTAAAAATTCCAAATTAACCAATCGCTCTAAATAAATAAATAATTTTTTTTTCGCAAAGTGATAATGATTGTCTTCGATCTCGGGAGTTTATTCACCCTTTCCCACTCTAAACAGTGGCTCGAGGAGGCGATGAAGAGCAATACTGGACCGTGTCACGTGTTCTTGGTGGGAACAAAGAGAGATTTGCTGGTAAATAATCAGTCCAACGATTGAGAGGCCTGGAGACTAAAAAAAACTACTGAAATGAGTAGAAAGTGACCTGAACAGGAAAAATTTCACGAAATGTTTCAAAATACGAGGCTGTTGGCGGGTGCAGGCGCCATCTTGCGGTGGTACCCCTCCCCCTTTCAATGTGGCGGCGGCTCCACCTCGTGTTTTTAAACATTTTTTAAAATTATTCATTCGCTTTAAATTATCCTCAACTCGCTTCGTCCGGTTTCTATAGAATGAACAATTTTTTTAAGCCATCTTTCAGATTTTTTCGGCTTTTTTTGGCTGGGAATTCATGGCGCAAAGTTTTCCCCACATTTCAGTGTTTTTTTTAGCTCCCGAGGCCTCTTAAAAAATTAAATGGTGTAAAAAATGGGTTTTTGTTGCAAGTCGAATCAAGTTTACGAGATAATCGAGAGACGCGCAGTAGCAGTGGCCGAGGCAATGACGGCCGAGTACTGGGCGGTATCGGCCAAGACTGGTGATGGTGTTCCTGAACTATTCTCTCGCATTGCTGCACTGTCGTTTGAAGCAACTGTCTTGAGGGAAATGAAATCCTCGAGGAGTGAACATGTGACTCTTGGGTCAGACCTCATAAGTGGGTGATTCTCACATTTTTAAATCAACCAGAACAATTGTAAAACGAGGATAAATTAATGAGGAAAAATATCTTTCAGGTCTTAAGAAGCATCAAGACGTGGAGAAGAAGGAGAAGAGGCTTACAAAATGGTTGAGATGCACCTCCTAATCAAGCATTGAATCTAGAGACAGATGACCCGTTTTACCCCAGTGTTTTTGCAATTTTCCTCTAGTCAAAAAAAATTTTTACGGCTCAATTGCAATAAAAAAAATCTAAAAAAAATTTTCCAAGTGTTATTATCAAATTTTAAATTGAATCCATGTCTTAAAATCGATATTTATTTATAAAAAAATTCCCAAGACTCAAAAATAATTTTCACACAAATAATTAACAACTAATCAATTTTTTTGGAAATTGAAAATTTTTATTTGAGGAAAAAGGAGGGGAAATGGACCCCATAGGATAGATAGAAAAATTCAATACTCAATTATAAAACCACGACCCGTTCTGCCCCAGTCGTTGCCAAGAAAATTGAAAAAACAAAATTTTTCCGAAAAATTGAAGTTTTGGGATATTTTTAAACGGGTATTATTTTTTCTCAACATTTCTCGAACTTTCTACTGAAAAAAACGTCCACCTCCCTCCCCAATCTGTCCCCAAAATTTATTTATTTATTTGTTTATTTATTTATTTGTTCATTATTTATTTAGCCAATTACAGAATCAAATTAAAAACACATTTTGAAAAACATTGACTATAGGTAATTGTTATGATTTCGTGGGTCTTGGTGATTTAAAAAAATCTTGCGCTGGTGATGTGAGACTATCCACTTTCTTCTCATTGTATTTGACCATCAGTCTATTCAGTGATTCCCATACCCGATAGACAGGGAGTACTGTAATCATTCTAGATTTACTAAAAATTCTGATTTTACCCCAGTCAAAACACGTCCATATGAATTAATCTCATTAAAAAATGCAGAATGAAATAGATAAAAAATTCTTTTGAATATTGCCGCCAGTTCTCCGTGTTCCTAATCCCCGGAATTCCGCAGCGCAAAGAATAACGGCATCGATTGGCCAGAGGGATTGAAAAAAAGGAGGAATAATAATCGAATTATTTTCATCTCCTTGCAAAAATCGCGTGGAGTGTCTACGTGTGATAATTCCCCACTTGAATGTCGGTGATAAAAATGAAGAGGCATCGCGCGACGCCAGTCGGCTCTGACCCGTGGCCGCGCAAGGTTCCAAATCCCCCCATTCCGCCCGCAAGACCCAGTAAAAAGTCAATCTTCTGGAAATAGTTCGAGCGCCGAACATTCAAAAAAAAATTAATAGCAGTAGTAATCACTCCGAATTTGAATAAGTACAGTACAAAGTGGAGTCGAGGACCGGTTGGATTACGGTATGTAAAAACATTGGCGATAAAAAGGCGACTGCGCGTTAACGAGACAGATTGAGGAAGAGACACGTAGTGGGAGGCGATTGAAACCGCTTGTGGAGTTGATCGTCACATGGTATCAAGGCTTTTTTATTAAAAATTGTGCGCAAGTGCATCGCCAGGAGTTTTTGCCATTCAAAAGGTAATTTTTTACGTCGCAATGATTTTTTTTTATTCGTTTCTAAATTTTTTTAATTGACGAGTATTTGAAAATCGTTGGCGATCGATTTTTTAATGATTTTTCATCGACAATTGTGCGGAAAAAAACTTTATTTTTTCAATTTAATTAATTAAATTAAATGAAAATTGAAGTTTAACTTAAAAATTGAAATTTAATTTTTTTTTTCAATTCATTTTTTGGTTTTTAAAACTGAGGAATATTTAAAAGTCGATGTTTATTGATTTTTTTCAAGGCTGTTTTATTAAAAATTGTTATTAAGAAGTCCACCGCAGGGGTTTTTGATATTCCAAAGAGAATTTTTTGCGCTGAAATAATTTTTTAAAATTCATTTTCCAATTTTTGAAATTAATGAATATTTACAAATCGATGTTGATTTTTTTGAGGCTTTTTTCTAATAAAAAATGCATCGCAACGCGTTTTGAATATTCAAAGCGCGTTCCCACATCTTAATTTTTAAAGTTGTGTATTTTTTTTACTGGAAAATTTTTTTAGGGGTTGAATATAGAGTTTCAAGTGTTTTATTGTTTGAGAATTATCAGGGAATTGTTATCACTTAATGACACTCTATTTCATCGGAAAAATCATCGAGTCTAGTTGCTAGGCTCTGACGCTTCTGACTCATGACAATTTGCGAGAATAATTCAAAGTCGAACTGATTTGTTAAAAGAATTCTCAATCTTCATAAAATTGAAATTCAATTAAAATTAAAATTTAAGTAGAAAAAAATCCAAGAAAATCATTCAAACGTGCAACACTTTTGATAATTATTCCAAACAAGAAAAAATGTTTAATTATTACAAAAATATTCAATTCTTTTAATAATTTTTCCCTCAAATCACTTTTTTTTCTTTAAAAAATTCAGTTTAATTTTAGAGATGAAAAAATCCATTGATTCCCTCATTAAAAAATCATAGTTTTTCAAAAGAATTTCTGAAAAATTGTAAAAAAATTGTTGAATGCATAGATAATTTTATTTCTCATTCAAACCGAATTAATATTTCATAATTGTTTAATTTGCTACACCTCCCCTGGAATTTGAATGATCATCAATAATTTTGTATAAAACTTCTAGAATTCTATTCAATTCCTCGACTCATGCATAATGTATCTCGGATCAGGGTTCAAGGCAGACATAATGCGGCAGACGTTTATCGGGAGCTGTGGCCCAGTCGTTTCCCTCCTTCCTCCTTCGATTCTTTAAACGATTTATCAGTTTGTCCAAGTTTTCCGGATTTAATTCATGGGTCAGGGGGTTTGTGGAGGGAATTGCCATTGACCTGGGTTTTCCTCATGCATTCTAGAAACATTTTGTACAGTTTCGAGGCGACAGACTCCTCCGAACAAGCCACTGGCCTCTCCCAGTTGCTATTAAAACCGAAATCGAGGAGTTTCCAGGTTTCAGAGGCGGAATCGGGCTTCAGGACTTCTCCATAATTTTTATTCATGTTTTCTCAGGATGAAGGAGGTGTAGTGTCTGTAAAAACGGGAATATTTCGATCTACTGATGAATTTTTAATTATTTTTCTGACATTTTCGACGGTTTTATGAATAATTTCTGTGAAATTCATTTACTGTCATGTTTTAATGTTAATTTATCTCGGTAATGAGGGGCTTTAGACAAAAATGTCATATAACACTTTTCGTAGAGAATTTCATAAGCTACGAAAAATATTTTAACACATTTTTCGCTAGAACCACTCGTTAATGAGATAGACGAAGAATTCACACGAGTAGTTTTGATGCTTTTATGAATAATGCTCGCGATTGTGATTTTCTGTCCTGTTTAAATATTCATTTATCTCGGTAATGAAGGGCTTTGGAGGAAAATGCCATAAAATATTTTTTACTGAGAATTTCATAAGCTACAAAAAATATTAAGGCACATTTTTCGCGAAAACCACTCGTTAATGGGATAAATGGAGAATTAACAGAAGTATCAATGGGCATTTAATTTATACTCGATTTGTTTCATTCAAGAGAATGCAATGTGATAATTGTGTAATGGTGCGTCGTTCCATTTTCCTCAGTTGAATAAATAATTTACCTCACGAGGAGATGATTTGTGAAGCTGTCACCTTGACTATCAATCTTGTTTTCCGTTGGATTTATCTTTATTGAGGATGAGGTACCCACAGATGACAGCATGCACTGCTACAATAACAAGCAGACCCGTCTGATTCAAATTCTCCCAATCAAAGGGCTCCATTGTGTCGGAAACCCTTGAAAATTCAGAAAACAACAAATTTTTTTATCAACTTTCTCACGAAAACAATTGCGTAATTATCCTCGACATTCAACTCTTCGAAACCGATCAAGAGCGAAGTTGGATGTTTGAGGGTCAAACGGGTGATCACTCCACTCGTCTCTCCCATTTAATCCCCAGGAAAATTCGACCCTCCGACTGTCTCTCCCGTTTGACCCTCAAGAATATTTGACCCTTCATTATTTTTTTAAGGTTCCACTTTGCCCGGCGCTCCCCTCAAATGAAAATTTATCAATCTATTTCGTTTATTTTAACTAAATGAAAGCTAAAATAAACTATTTAATATCATAATTTTACCTTTTTCATGGGGAAATTTTCACTGAAGCAAAATTCGTTATGTAAGGGTTCAAAAGTGTTGAGGGTCAAACGGGAGAGACAGGCGGAGGGGTCAAATGGGAGGACTGGCGCAGTGACCACTCCACTCGTCCCTCCAATTTAACCCTCAGGAAAATTTGACTCCCCCACATTCTCTCCCGTTTGTCAAAAAGTGTTGAGGGTCAAATGGGAGGGACAGGCTGAGGACTCAAGAGGCTCAAACGAAAGCGACGAGCGAAGTAATCACTCCACTCGTCTCTCCCATTTAAGCCTCACCTGTCTCTCCCGTTTGACCCTCACATTTGACCCTCCATCGCTTCCTTCAGTAACAAAGATGGAAAACAAAATAATCTAAATTTTCCTGCACATTTTCATTTTTTATCACCCCTACGATAATTTAAAAAAATTTCATTAGTCTTCTCACCATTTTTCCCCAACATCTCGTAATTACCATTCACTCACGTACACCGAAAAATTTTGCATATTCCGACACGTACGTGGCACTTTGCTCGGGCATAAATTAACCCATTAATCAGGGGAAAATGAATCCGAACATATTTCCAGATTTTGTCGTACTTTTCGGACTCTAATTGACCATTCGCATGGCGTGCAAGGCCACTCCCCGAGGCGACCTTGATCCAGCCTCATGGCAAAAGGTTCACAATTAATTTTTTCAAACCACGACTTGACTTGAGACTTGTGTAATTTCATCGCGACAAAACAATTTTTTTCACCAGCAACTCGTGTAATTGGATTTTATTTTTAAAGTGATTATAAAAAATTGTTTGGAACTTTAATGATGGTGATAATTACGGGTAATGCGACATGATAAAGAGAACATTAAAAATTAGGAGTAGCAAGATATGAGGGAAAAATTCAGATAATTTTTTTCTCAGGCTCTAAAAAATGGGGAAGGGTCAAGTGGTTTTAGGGTCAAACGGGAGAGCAGTGGAGGGTAAATTTTTTTTGAGGGTTAAACGGGAGAAAAATCTAGTGCGACTTGAGCGCATGATGAATTCATTGCAAGTGACTGAGACCTTGATGTACAATCTCGCATATGGAGAATTCTGCATTGTATACGTCGTAAATAAATGATAGTTTTTTACCAACCTGAAACCTTCAGTGTTTCTCATCAATTTACATTGATACTCTTCAAATTATAAATCACTTTTTGTGGGGTTTTCAATCAGGTGATGAGAAATTATGTGCACGAGCACGTGAGAACATTTTTCATTTTTTCATTTTTATTTTTTATTTCATGAGTAATTATCCATCAAAAAAATTGCAAGAATTTTTAATTAATTGGAGTGGAATTACCATTTTTCAATATGCTGTAAGTCGAAATTGGCTGAGTGAAATTTAACAATTTTTTTTTCATTTTCGAGGTATTTTTACCGACTTTGAAATGAACCTTCAAGACTATCTATGTTAATTCAACAATTCAATTGATTAACGGAACAGGAATAATGATGATTGTTTTTATTCTGATTGCTGACTCCAACTAGTTTGGTTTTCTGACAATTGACTTACTGTCTTTAATCATTTCGTCATTTTTTTTTTATTCGTGTCAGAATCTTTTATTTTATTAACGATTGTGATCAATGCAAATATGCGCAGTCTATGAGATATCGAGATATCTTCACAGACTTTAAAATGAGCCTTGACTCGTCCAAATCGCTTCGTTCAGTCGCGAGATATTGACCATCAAGTTCAATAGTTTCGATGTTTCAAGCTGATAAGAGCAATTAACTCAGAAATTATTAATAATTCAGTAAAATCACGATGCCGCGTCAGTCAGTCATGCGAGTGTCGAGTAACACTTGATGACTCGTCAGTTTTTCATCGATAGTGCTCGTGATTTATCCGAGTGACGTTGTTACCACACAGGAGAGAGGGGTAAAATTTTCTGCAACTCCGAGGGGTTCGTGAATTCATGCGACAGTTGCGTGCAGTCCGTTCGCGAAGTGCGGGTCGTCCTAATTATCAGTATTGGAAAAATCAAAATTCAAATCCCCCAATCAATCCCTAATAACCAATAGAATCAGAATAAAATTGTGAACAAAAGAAAAATTTAACAAATTGCAAAATTTAATTTTAATCGTTAATTAAAAATTTATTTCCCCTCAATTTACTGGTGAATATGGATTTACCGGTGAGTAAAATTCATTAATATTGAAAATCGGTTGGCACTCGTGAAATTTATTCGTAGAAAAAGGAAAATTAAATGACTCCAGCAAATTGGCATTTTGCGAGTGAAAGTTATTGCGGGGAATGTCCTTTCTCATTCTACTCTCACCCATACCGATTACATAATTGCAAAAAGTGTCATTTCCATTATTTCATCATTCTCATTCTCCTGACGAGAGCCAGGGGTCAGAAACGACCCCAGCCATCAGTCAGAAACATTTACATCGCCCCAGTAAATTGCCCGAAAAAAAAGTTTCGAAAAATCTTTCACGTCGTCCGAAAATGAAAGAAAAAATCTGCGCGATTCCACTGGAATTGTCTTCACGTAACAATTGTTTACTATTTGTAATACTTCATGACTTCACGACTGGCCGACGTATTGTCGAGTAGTTCCGCATTATGAGAGTTGTTGACAAGTCACGGTGACAACAACGTCCTAGTCTAGGCAATTGCAAAGCCTAATAGGATCTTATCGTTATTTTTCACTTTTAAAATGGGGCAATAACAGTTCTAAACTAGTCGATATCTACAACTTATCGGGCCTACCGATTCTATTAATTGATAAATGTATTTTTTTTTCAAGAATGGACTTAATTGGTACAATTGATCGGCAGATCTGGCAGGTAGTCTTAGCAGGTAGACTTGAAGAGTAGATTTATCAGGTAAATTTAAAGGGTAGATTTAGTAGGTAGACGTAATGGGTTGAATTATCAGGTAAATTTAATGTGTAGATTTAACAGGTAGACTTAACAAGTAGATTTAGCAGGTAGACTTGACAGGTAGACTTGATAGATAAGCCTAGCAGGTAGATTTATTGGGTAGACTTGTCAAGTAAATTTAATGTGTAGATTTATCCGCTGAATTTAGTGGGTAGACTTATCAGGTAAACTTAATAGGTAGATAGAACAGTAGACTATTTCACCAGGCTTAATAGGTAGACTTGATGGGTAGACTTGACACGTAGACTCAGCGGACAGATTTAAGAACAGCCCTATTACACAGACTTGGTAGATAGATTGTAATGGGTAGATTCAACAGGTTGACTCGACGGCCACATTCTACAGGTAGATTCATCAGGTAGACTTAATGGGTAGGCTTATCTGTCAAACCTGACGCGTAGAATCAACACATAAAGACAAGCAGATTTGGAAGGTAGACTTGATGGCTGGATTCAACAGGTAAACTCAACTGATAGGCGTGATAGGTAGGCTTAACTGGTGGTCTTATCAGGTAGACTTTTCGGGTAGACTTTTCAGGTAGACTTAACGGGTAGATTTAATTTTCCCCGCTACCTGATAGAATTGACACCCGATATCGCGTTATTTTCGTTCGATATTTTTTCTTTTCTTTGCGTCCTCAACATGCGGTAGACTTCCCGACATTTCATTCACTTTTTCTCCAACATTCGTTGACTCACTCGTCAATTTAATTTCCCTTATAATTACTGGCCCGAATAACGTCACAATCTCATTGTATTCGTCAGCGATGCAACTTGCAAGTCAGTTTTACTCGTATATTCGGACAATTTGTCTCCCTAGTCTTCATATTTCAGCCCCAAAACTGTCATTTTGTCGTTCTATCGGGCTGTCATTGTTGGTTGATTACACGTGGAGTATTATCTCAATGAGGGGAGGGGTTTCACGAGATAATGATATGATAAATTAGAGGAAAAATGATATATTTGATTTCTCATTGTCGTATTACATTCAATTATGTAATTGCGGGGTAATCATGCATGGAATAATGATAGCGGGTACCCATCGTCTTTGAGCCGGAAGAATTTCACGGTCACTGGACATTTCCATGAATTTCAACTGGACACTCGACTGAAATTCCAGATCCAGATGAGTTATTTCAATTTCGTTCGATGGATCGGAAAATATCAGGTAGAATAAAAAAAAGACGACCCATTTTGCCCCATTGGTTATTGAAAAAAATCGTAAAAAAGGGATTTTTGGATTTTTTTCGTGAACGGATGGACCAAAATGGGCAATTTTTTTTTTTAAGAAACAATCGGAAATTTTCCGGGATATTCACTGAGGCCATTTTTTGACCCCCCACCGATGGATTTAATTAATTATTGACAGGGATTGAGGGGAAGTGCATTTTCGACGTTTATTATCTGAATTAATTAGGGAATTGAGTGGCCGAGGTGCGCAGATGACCCCAGTGACGTACCCACATGGGTGTAACTACCTGTGACGTTAATACACTGGATAAAAACTAAAACAAACATCCGTACGACATCTCGACTGAATCAGACTGAAGGGAAAAAAAATTTTTTTTTGTGATTATTCAATCGTTGAATTTACCTGGGGCATTTATTAACGGACAGCCCCGATCATGGCAGTATGCTCTGATTACATACTCAATGGGGCAGCGTGTCAATGCAATGATACGATTGTATAACTAGATAATACGTAATAAAAATCGGGGACGGGTCTGGGGTAATGTCTCAGTGGAGTCAATCACAGGTAGTTTTTTTTGACCATTCCGTTTGGAGATACCGGTTCTGTCGTCCCTGGTTCTCTCCGGCTCTCCCCCCTCGCCGGCGGTCCGCCGGACTTGTGGCCTCAAGGTGATGGTTCACTCCTGAGGGAGTGCAGCTGCATCGGCAGTGGAGATTATTCTCGAAATCGTGATGCGAAGGGACTCATTCTTATTCGATGTCGATGGAAATGAACATATATTGAACGAGAAAAATTATAGCCTCATGCTGTATGTGTGAAGTTCATCTTTATATTAAAACATATCTAAATTGCCTAATTGTTGATCATGAGAAAAAAAAACAGCATTTCTAAATTTTTTTAACTCACAAGTTATTCTTCACTTCTCAAATTTTTATTTTTTCATATTTATCATACGCAAAAATGATCAATTCTCGGTTCTCAGATTTTCACACATAAATTCTAAACCCTACAAAATTCATGAAATTCTTCGGTTTCCCAAGTAATTCGAGAAAAATCTTTGAAGATCTACGGTTATCTGGAAAACTGAAATTTTCCGAAGAAATCAATTAATAACCCTCCCCTCATTTTTCAACAATTACAGATTTTAATCGGATTATTTTAAAAAGTGAAAAAAAAAAATTAATCGAAGATTAAAAATTATTCATTGATGTTTCACTCTTCATTCTCTTAATTCTCTTCAAGTCATTATCAATATTTATAAAACATCTGAGTATATGAAGTTGAATAAATTCGCTTTCTTCATTTTCACGGAGACATCGTGACGAATATTTTGAAAGAAGAAAAATTGAGATCGATCCACTAGTTTCCGAGATATTGAGCAAAATAATTTCACACACAAAGTTTAATATCTCCGAGACTAATCACCCAATAGCCCCCACCCAGAACACCGCACTTGTGATTGTTTCTCGAGTTATTACGTTTCCAAGTGCTGCCATCGATAAAATCCCAGAATGGCAATAACATTGAACTCCCTCTTCACAGCCTCACATTTCGATCTGAGTAGATGCATAAAAAATTGAAAATAGATGAAGAGGAATAGTTTATTCGCACTTTTAGTCTATCATCATCTTCGTCCTTCTCTTTTTCATTCCCTCCACCACGCGGAAGCTGACGAGACGATTTTGGCCTTCGTCTCGCATCGAGAGCTGACGTAATGTATTTTCCTCGCGATTTGTACATCGCTTTTTGTTATTGAGAGTAGATCTTCACCAAGCGCATAAACCTGCTGCCTTATTTAGCAATTCGGAGAGAGCGACTTTGGAACGAATGCTCGCGTGATAAAAGTAGGGGCGATAAAGTTGGCGATATACGTGTTATTAATGACCAATTAATCCCTCTGAATTATGAAATTCACAAAACATAAATTCCTAAAATCAATTTCTCTCAACGCAGACCCGTTTTGCCCCGGTATCTCCCGATAATTCACATTAAAAACAAACAAAATACTAAACAAACCAAATACGTGAACTAAATATCGAAGGAAAACCAATCGGCGATGGAAAATTGAACGAAAACAGCTACAATAATACTTTTTGAAAAGAGTTAATGAGAGGTTGAAATGTTGATGAAATTCAATTTTTTTTCAGTGCAAAGAACAACTCTTTCCCTTTTAGACGAGCCTAAACTGAGCTCGATTGATATATTTGTTTCTGAGTTATGAATAATTAAAAAAAAGTCTAGTGTCCATTTTACCCCACCCTCCCCTAATTATGTTACATTTTGGTGTCCCTCGGGATTTTTGCGTCTCGCCGAAATGATAAATTCCTTTCAATCTAATCCATTCCAGACTGCAGACGCATCGCTTCCACAAGCCGTGAGAATGTCGAGTTCCCCAGTTCTGGAAGGTGAGGAGAGGGCGGAGCTGGTGGACGAACCACTCTTCAGCACCCTGGACATTGTCCTTCTGGGGGCCCTTCTCCTCGCCGGGGTGTGGTACCTCATGAGGAGAAATAAGCAGGAGGAGTACACACCGACCACAAAATCCTATTCCATTCAGCCCACGACTTACAGTGCCCCAGCGCAGTCGGAAAATTCATTCGTCAAAAAGTTGAAGACCTCGGGTCGTAGTTTGGTGGTGTTCTATGGCAGCCAGACTGGTACTGGCGAAGAATTCGCGGGGCGACTCGCCAAGGAGGGGGTCAGGTATCGAATGAAGGGAATGGTCGCAGATCCTGAAGAGAGCGACATGGTAATTGAAAAAAAAAATGAAGCTGAAGATGTCGGCAATTCCAACCACTCTCATCTGGAAGATCGGAGAATTCTACCCTAGATTGTAAAAAAAAAGACCTGTTTTGCCCCGGGGTTTATGAAAGAACCAATGGGGCAAGACGGGTCGTCTTTTTTCTTTTCGAAGTAGATTTTTCTGATCTGCTGATGGGGTCATGGGCGACCCCCTGGATGATTCTTGAATTTTTTTGTAGGAAGAACTGGTGAACCTCAAGTCCATTCCTAATAGTCTGGCAGTTTTTTGTCTGGCGACTTATGGTGAGGGTGATCCAACGGACAATGCCATGGAGTTTGTTGATTGGTTGAAGAATGGAGATGCAGACCTCAATGGCCTGAATTACGCGGTGAGTTTGAAAAAATTATATGAAAAAAATCACGTATCAGCTGAATTAACGAGTGAAATTTGCGAATTGCGTTTATTCTACGAAAAAAATGAGAATGTTGAGAGGCCTCGGGATTAAAAAAAGCAACTGAAATGCGGGGAGAACTCTACTCCGTGAATTCTCGGCTGGAGGGAGACGGAAAAGTACGAAGGATGGCTTGAAAAAATTGTTCACTCTGCAGAAACCGGCGGAAGCAATCTGAAAATGATCTGAATATGATGAATAATTTAAAGAAATGTTTGAAAGTGCGAGGTGGGGCGCCGCCATGTTGGAAACCCTTGCGTCAGAGGGAGGGGGTACCCAAGCAAGATGGCGGTGCCCACCTGTCGGCCACCTCGTGTTTTTGAACATTTCTTTAAATTATTTATTCCCCTCGGATTAGCTCCAACTTGTTTAATCGAGTTGCTGGAAAATGAACCAATTGTTCAACCTATCCTTCAGTCCTTGGTTATTCTTTGCATTCTCTGCTTCGAAATAAATTGCGGTTCGTCGTTCCGTCCAGACTAAGCGCAACGAGATATTTTATTTGATAGACATCAGAGGAATAAATTCCAAAATTAGATCAGTCAACGTTATATAAATCTTTGCTTTATTAAATTGAAAAAAATTAAAATTTTAGAACAACATATCAAAATGGTTAAACAATTACAAATTAATAATTAATAATTATTATTGAATTATTATTATAATTAAATTTGGCACTAATTATTAATTATTAATTAATGCCAAAATGCCAAAATGGCTGAGAAGTTGGAGATTTCTGGGCTGATATAATTTCAGTTCAACGCAATCAATTGAAAACCAAAAAGTGATTCATGATGCACAATGGCACGATCACGAACTAAACCGAATAGACTAGACACCATGACGTCACACTAGTTATATAACGCGCACGTCCGCGGCGCACGTGTCTCTCGCGATAACCCGGGGAGGAGATTCGTCGAGCGTTTTCCCATCGTTTCACACCTTGTCCATCGGTTTTTATTATTCCAACGAGTCCGCAGTGATGTGTTCAGCGAATATCAATTTTCCAGTGTTGAGGAAATATTTTTGAGGGGAATATGAGGAGATTGAAGAGCCTCGGGAAAGTCGCGTGGAGTTTTCCAAGATACGGGGGCGCTAGAGGCGCGCGGCAGTACTCGGTACTAGGTCTCCCGACAAATGTTAGTTCAAAATTTAATAAATCCATCGAATTTTCGATTCCTCATGATTGATGGAAATTGAACAGTCTGACGTTTTTTTATAGGCTTCTGCATTGAGAATGTTAAATGATAATTTTCTAATTTTTCAAATGAATGGGGACATCTGAATAATTATCAGCTGATGGCGCAAAGTCCAGATATTTTTTTTTCATTTATTTTATATTTTGAGATAAAGTGCGGACTTGGAGTTTTGAAACTCGGGAAAGTGATAGATTTTTTTTTTCGTTGATAATGGAGATGTCGTTGACATTAATTAACACTTAATTAGTGCAGACGTTTATTTGTTTTTCAAATTCTCGGATTTTTTCGGGAGCTCAAAGATGTTCAAGTACTTTGGCTTTACTCTTGTAGTCGATCTGTTGTCGTTTCGTTTTGTTATTTTCATTTTGCAGATCTGAATTTGAATTTCGATATTAAAATAGAAACTGTTTTAAAAATCGGAAAAAATTGAATCTCTATATTTGGCAGAGGATTGGTGGAATCATTTTAAATTTGCGAGCATTTTCTGTAACTAATTCATAAACAATTAATTTTCGATCGTAAAATTCTTCAGTTTGGAATCGTAAAAAAATTATTCATATTCAGAATTTTACCAGAAATTGAGTTAATACCTAAAAAAATAAGTTTTCCGAAAATTTGTTCAAAGTTATTTATTAATAAACTATTTATTTATAAACAACGAAAGTTTAAAAAACGATAATTCTGTGCAAAATATAATTTTAATGACGTTCAATATTCTCAATTTTTTTCACGTTTCCTCATCGAAATGAGGAAACCTTTCCGTTGAATATTTTTTAACTATCATTAAACTTCTTATCGCGATATAAATGACAGACAGAAGGAAATTAAATGCAAGATTCAAAACTGCATTGTTAATTTATGAGGGACAAGAAAAATGATATGATAATTCAATAATTATTCACTTGCTGCTTTCCGTCTCCAGGTGTTTGGTCTTGGTAACAAGACCTACGAGCACTACAATGAAGTAGCTATTTACGTGGATCATCGCCTGGAGCAGTTGGGTGCGACGAGGGTGCACGAGCTGGGGCTCGGGGACGACGACGCAAAGTAAATATGATTCTGCTTCATTCGTTTGCCAAAGTTGAACTGAATTAACGTGATTATTTAATCGATTTTGGACAGCATTGAGGATGACTTCATCACGTGGAAGGACAAGTTCTGGCCGGCGGTGTGTGAATTCTTCGGGATCGAGGGTGCTGGCGAGGATGTCAGCATTCGTCAGTACAAGCTCACTGAGCACCTGGACGTGCCTGCTGAGAGGGTTTACACTGGGGAGATTGCTAGGCTGCACTCGCTGAAGACTCAGAGACCGTAAGTTACTTATATTTTAATTCAGGGGACGCGCATATTTTGATTTTATAAAATAATCCCATTAATGTTACTGAGGACACTAGAACGACAGCAATATCTCACAACTGAACTCAGGCCACTCATATTTTGCATCAATGCCAATGAACGTATATTTCACGAAAAAAATACGCCACGGAGTTTAAGGATGTTGCCACACCCTTTCGGCCAAAATTCACGTTTTTTCATTTTTCTGGCAAATTATTGATCCGATTGACGCGAAATAATATATTGTTTTTGCCGTTTATCATTATTGACTGACTCACGAAGTTTCATGCTACTGCAGTCATTTTCCTGCATTTTTTCTACAGTTTTGTGCATTTCCGAAGTTTGAGAAAAAACGCAGGAAAATAATTGCACGATCATGAAATTTTGTGAGTAATTAAGTAATGATAAAACGCAAAAACGGTATATTTTTTCACGTCAATCCGATGAGCAATTTACCGGAAAAATTAAAAAAAAAACGTGAATATTGGCGAAAAGTTTTGTGAATTTCCGAAAAGTTTGAGAAAAAACGCCGGAAAATAATTGCACGACCATGAAATTTCGTGAGTAATTAAGTAATGATAAAACGCAAAAACGGTATATTTTTTCACGTCAATCCGATGAGCAATTTACCGGAAAAATTAAAAAAAACGTGAATATTGGCGAAAAATTTTGTGAATTTCCGAAAAGTTTGAGAAAAAACGCAGGAAAATAATTGCACGATCATGAAATTTTGTGAGTAATTAAGTAATGATAAAACGCAAAAACGGTATATTTTTTCACGTCAATCCGATGAGCAATTTACCGGAAAAATTAAAAAAAACGTGAATATTGGCGAAAAATTTTGTGAATTTCCGAAAAGTTTGAGAAAAAACGCAGGAAAATAATTGCACGATCATGAAATTTTGTGAGTAATTAAGTAATGATAAAACGCAAAAACGGTATATTTTTTCACGTCAATCCGATGAGCAATTTACCGGAAAAATTAAAAAAAACGTGAATATTGGCGAAAAATTTTGTGAATTTCCGAAAAGTTTGAGAAAAAACGCAGGAAAATAATTGCACGATCATGAAATTTTGTGAGTAATTAAGTAATGATAAAACGCAAAAACGGTATATTTTTTCACGTCAATCCGATGAGCAATTTACCGGAAAAATTAAAAAAAACGTGAATATTGGCGAAAAATTTTGTGAATTTCCGAAAAGTTTGAGAAAAAACGCAGGAAAATAATTGCACGATCATGAAATTTTGTGAGTAATTAAGTAATGATAAAACGCAAAAACGGTATATTTTTTCACGTCAATCCGATGAGCAATTTACCGGAAAAATTAAAAAAAACGTGAATATTGGCGAAAAATTTTGTGAATTTCCGAAAAGTTTGAGAAAAAACGCAGGAAAATAATTGCACGATTATGAAATTTTGTGAGTAATTAAGTAATGATAAAACGCAAAAACGGTATATTTTTTCACGTCAATCTGATCAGCAATTTACCGGAAAAATTAAAAAAAACGTGAATATTGGCGAAAAATTTTGTGAATTTCCGAAAAGTTTGAGAAAAAACGCAGGAAAATAATTGCACGATCATGAAATTTTGTGAGTCATTAAGTAATGATAAAACGCAAAAACGGTATATTTTTTCACATCAATCCGATCAAAAATTTACCAGAAAAATTCAAAAAACGTGAATATTAGCGAAAAGGGTACAATTGGCAAAAAGGGTACCATAATATCTCCGAACCATCGATAGGCATAATCATAAATTATAATTATCATTAATTTCATAAATACTCAATCAAGTAATAGAACTTAATTTTCAATTATTAAATTAATCAACAATTAAATATTCAAATTCCGAATTTTATTTTCGCAATCAATAATCGAATTCGGAAGAATGACGATTATTTGATAATCTCTACTCTTTTTTCAGGAAATTTTCAATTATTTACCTAATAGTTACTTGAAAAATGTAACTTCTCAATTATTTTCCTCAGTTCCAATGATAAACGAATGAATTCGGTGATTCTGGGGAAAAAAATCTGTTAATATTTCTGGAATAATGATTGATGCCGATCACTGCTCCGAACCCCAAGCTTCGTCCGCTTAAAGCCACCCAAACCCAACACAAAAACTTTTCTCCAATTAATAACTCCCGACTTCCCCCGCCAGCCCCTACGACGCGAAGAACCCGTACCTGGCCCCGGTGAAGGTGAACCGGGAGCTGCACGGCCCCTCATCGGAGCGCTCCTGCATGCACATAGAGTTCGACATATCCGGGGCGAAGATGCGCTACGACGCGGGTGACCACGTGGCGGTCTACCCCGTCAACAGTTCGGAGCTCGTGAACAAGATCGGTGACAAATGCGGCGTCGACCTGGACACAGTGATCACCCTGACCAACACCGACGAGGAGTCCACCAAGAAGCACCCCTTCCCCTGCCCCTGCAGCTACCGAACAGCCTTGACCCACTACCTGGACATAACGGGGAACCCGAGGACCCACGTCCTGAAGGAGTTGGCCGAGTACTGCTCGGAGCCAGTTGACAAGGAGAGGCTGAAGCTGATGGCGTCGACGACAGCCGAGGGCAAGGCCCTGTACCAGGAGTGGATAGTCAACGACAATCGGAACATCGTGCACATCCTCGAGGACATAAAGAGCCTGAAGCCAGCGCTGGACCACCTCTGCGAGCTCCTGCCGCGTCTCCAGTGTCGGTACTACTCAATCTCCTCGTCGTCCAAGCTCTTCCCCTCGGACATTCACATCACAGCTGTTGTTGTGGAGTACAAAACCCCCACGGGGAGGATCAACAGGGGGGTCACCACCACCTGGCTGAAGGAGAAACACCCCACAGACCCACCCAGCACAGTTCCCATCTTCGTGAGGAAGAGCCAGTTCAGGTGAGTGAGAGATAAATCGAATTTTTTAACCCATTCCCACATTTCGCAAAAGTGGACGTGCTTTTTGGTGATTCAAAGAATTTGAAGAGGAAAATTATTTCACGTCTTGATTTTTAGAAATCAAAATGATGAACTAAAAAATGATAAATTGAAAAAGTGACCCCTCATTTTCATTCTCACTGGAGAATTAATTAATTATTCAGTTAATTAATTGATGAAAAAATAGGTTGCCCTCGCGTCCCATCACTCCAATCATCATGGTGGGGCCAGGAACTGGAATTGCTCCCTTCAGAGGCTTCATCCAGGAGAGGGACATCGCCAGGAAGGACGGCAAAGAGGTTGGAGACACTATCCTGTACTTCGGCTGCAGGACGAGGGACGAGGACTTCCTTTACAAGGAGGAGCTGGAGGAGTACGTCAAGAGTGGAACCCTCAAACTGCACACAGCCTTCAGCAGGGAGCAGAGTAAAAAGGTTTACGTGACACATCTTCTGGAGAAGAACATGGACGAGATCTGGGACGTTATCGGGGCGAAGAATGGACATGTCTATATTTGTGGGTAAGTTGCACTGAAAAGTGAAGGAAAAATGAACAAATTGATAAATTAAAAATGAAAAGGAACAACAACAAAATTAAAAAAAAAACACTTTTTTAATTTTCGAAAAGTTTGGATTAACGATTTAATGTTTTTGTTTAGGGATGCTCGCAATATGGCACGCGATGTCCACAATATTCTCCTGAAAGTTGTCCAGGAGAAGGGCAATATGACGGAAATGGAAGCAACAAATTACATAAAGAAAATGGACTCACAGAAGCGCTACTCCAGCGACGTCTGGAGTTGAATATTTTTATACAATATTTTTTATAAATACTTTTGTCTTCAGTGTGATGATGGGCTCTCTGAGGCCCCTGTGGCACCCGGTGCCTAGTTGAGGGAGAGATAATTCTATTCTGTATATAATGCGTAACGATTATTGATTATTAGTCAATTGATTCATCATTAAAGTGGTTAAAATGAAATTATCTGGGGAAGGAGTGGATTTACGAAGAAATGGGCTCAGACCTTTTTTGTGGGTAATTCAATTTCCAACGAAAAATGTCTTGTGAGATTTTTCCGCAAAGGCACTCATTAAGGAGATAATGGCGCTTTAATGAGATGCGAAAATTCGTTTAGCCACTTCACTGCTGAATGCATCATTTATATTGTTTAAATTCATGTGAAATTATTGATAATGAATATATTGAATCGTTGCCCTCTGTTAGCTACAGTTCATCGCAGGCATTGTGTAGATACAATGATCATTTATTGTTTATTTTAATGCACATTTAAATTAAGTGATTCACTACCGAAATAACTGAACAATAATAAATACTAATCGATAGTTTAATAAAAGTGCAAAGGGAAGGGAGAATATTTTACAGTTCTTGGAGATGAAATATATGTTTAGAACAAATTTGTTATCTTATTTCGATGTGAGGAAGTCAATCGTTATGTTGTAATAACGTTTACGTCGATTGTAATTGGTATTTGTAATAGAAAAATGCAGTTGATAATTTTTTTTTGTCTGTTATTACTTGAAATTTATTCACGCTTTCCCCATAGGGTATATTGGACAAATAATTCCCAAAAATGCAACAGAATAAATTTTTTTAATCAGTAAAAAATTAATTCTCTCTTCATTCGTTCGTTTAAAATTATCGGCAGTCCGTCCGGACATTAAATACACGAGTTCCCTTAATTTTTGACCCAGATTCCTAATTTGTGAAGAACGGATAATTGTTTCTCCTCGTCAGAAGTTGATTTAGATTTTTTTAATACTTTTTTTTACGATCGCAAGTCAATAATTCCGGGGTTTACGGTGTTTTTGTATGATTCAGGCATGATGCGACGAACATAACCTCCCCTGCAATCAAAACAAATCCCGAAACCCTATTTTTCAAGTTTATAAATATATTTATGTGCCACGAGTGGCGATAAATAATCAGAATGAATGAAATTCTGGATGAAAACTTCAGGAGTTATTATTCGAAAATAGAGGATACTTTTAAAAATGCGTCGTTTATAGCTATTGACGCTGAATTCTCCGGGATTGACAGTGAAAATGTTCCAAAGCTCACGTCAGTATTCCCAATAAATTAACAAATAACAAAACAAGAACAAAAAAACATTCAGGGAACAATTGGGCATGAGTCATTTTCAATCGCCAATAACTCAGAATCGGCAGAGTGAAAATGGCCAATTTTTTTTTCATTTTGAAGGCATTTTTTCAGACCTTAAAATGAGCTCTGACTCATCCTGATCGCATCGTCAGTTCAGGAGATTTTGATGATTTAAGAAGACCCTTTTGCCTTATTTTCCTCCACTTGCAGAATGAATGGATTTTTAATCCCGTTTAGAATGCGAATATCTCGAGAACAAGTGCTCCCACGAGAAAATATGTCGGGACTTTTTTGTAGAGAATTTCATAAGCTACAAAAAATGTTTTATGGTATTTTTTCCTAGAGCCACTCCTTAACGAGATATTCCCAAAGTAAACAAAATTGTCACATTTTGCCGTTTTTTTGTAAATTTTGAAAAAATCTCGTTCTGCGGTTTTTGTTTTTATTTAGAGTGTCATTATCATTTTTTAGATTGTTTGATACAGTCCAGGAGAGGTACGAGAAGCAGAGAGATAACATAGCACCATTCAGTGCTATTCAAATAGGCCTGACAGCATTCGTAAGAGTCAGACACGAGAATAAATACATCGCAGAACCTTTCAGATTCTATTTGCTGTCGAGATCGTTACTGCATGGTACTAATCAGAATTTTCACTGGGAGAAAACGTCAATGAACTTTCTGCGAATCCATAATTTCGATTGGAATAAGGCAAGAGTCATCGCTATAATAAATATGAAAATTGATCCTGGAAATCTCGTTTTTTATCAATCTAAAAAAATTATTCCGCTGAATTTTCGGGATTATCTCACAGAAGAGTGGCTTTGAGACAAAATGTTGTTGAATGTTTTTTATGGGAAATTTCCTCAGCTACAAAAAAGGTGGAGAGGAATATTTCTCTAAAACCACTGGTTAACGATATATTCACAATGTTCTTAACTAAGAAATTTCAATAGCCACCAAAAATCCCTATTTTTGCAGTTAAAAATTGCGGTAAAATTCTATTCTAAATTTTTGTTGGTGAAAATAACAACAGACAAACAATTATCCTCTACATTTTTCCATTACGCATACCAATTACAATCTCTATAAACATCATTACAAAATAACGACAAAGCGAATGTGAAGAGATGGCTCTTCAAATGTGCGATTATCCCCTTAATGAGTGACTCCACGAGAAAAAGTGAAAAGACATTTTTTGTTGAAAATTGTCTTCTCTAAAAAAAATATTCTATGCCATTTTCCTCTAAACCCCCTCCTCTTCGAGATAATCCCAATGTCCTCAGCGACAAAATCCCTTCATTCCCCTAAACCACCGAAACATCTCCAACTTCCCACTTCAGTTGGTGTACGGAGGCATCTCCTACCTGAACGGCCCAGAGGAGGCGAAAATGAGGCACCTCCTGAAGACCAACGACTACATGAGCAACCTGGGCGCCTTCCGAACGCTGGAGGAGGAGAACAATCTCCTGCGCTCCATAAAAAACGTGTCAGAATGGCTAAAGAGCTCCCCCAAGTCCGAGAAATCCCTGGAGATCAATTGCGACGACTTCGTGCAGCTGTGCTGCCTGCAGAGGCAGCTGAGGAAGTCCTTCAAGTCCATCTGGACCGAGCAGAAGGGCCAGAAGATCTTCGCGATCAAGGTTGACCCCGAAACCCGTGAGATCCTGGAAGAGAGGGACCAGAACCTCTGCGAGGAGCAGCTCCTGGAGTACACCCTGGGCTTCACTCGGGTCTTCCAGCTGCTGTGCGACCTGAAGAAGCCCATTGTCGGGCACAACCTCCTGCTGGACCTCATGTTCATGTACAAACAGTTTCACAAGGATTTACCTAAGAGTTACGAGAGGTTTAAGAGGGAGATCCACGAGCTGCTGCCTGTGGTGTACGACACTAAGCTGTTGAGCTACGAGATGAGGAAAATTTTGGAGCCCAGGGAGGAGGAGGGACAGGGGAAGAAGCAGAAAGGAGGTATCGCCACTATTCAATGGCTTATTCGAATTACCAGCGATCATTGATAGGCATATCAACCAATTATAATTAGGGGAGGTTGGGGTAAAATGGACACTTTCGATCTTTTTTTAAATATTAGTGACGGGTTGAAATGTTGATGAGATTTAATCGTTTTTTTTTCAGTATAAAGAACAATTCTTTCCCTTTGTGATGAGCCTAAAGTGAGCTATTGATATATTTGTTTCTGAGTCATGAATAATTTTAAATAAGTTTAAAGTGGATATCCATGAGCCTAAAGTATCCTTCCGTTTGGATAAAATATATTGAAAAAATACCAAAGAATTCAAATCGACGATGAAAAATCTTATCGTATTATTAATATGTAATAATTGCGCATTTAGAATAATTTTTATTGGTTTTATTTAGATAAAGGAAGGTCCAACGTCCTCGGAGAGCTGTACAAATACTTCAAGGATGGAGACGGAAGACTGTTATCTTGGAACTCTCCAAGGATTGAATTTCCGGACGGCACGACAACCGGTAAATCTCGAGAAGTAGAGTTTTCAGGTTTATTTAATCGTTTCTTGGGGATTTTCCTGCAGATGCAGAGGCATATCATGATGCCGGCTGGGACTCGTACTACACAGGCTTCTGCTTCGTGAAAATGGCTCACATTTTCGCATCTCACCCACGAGGAAGGCAAGTAAAATATCAAACGATGGAATTGGAAAATTTTTTATTGACTTTTTCGTGTAGATTCCCCTGGTAAAATCATGAAATAATGCTTTACAGCTCCCTGAATTCTCGAGAATTGACCCACATCGAGATGATGGCAAGCCTCAAGGACTACGTGAACTGCGTGAACTTGATTCGAGCGGATCTTTCTCATTTGGTGAGTTAAATTCAAAAATTCAAAAATTTCAGAAAAGTGAATTGAGTTTTTTGCGTTAAATGCTGGACATGATTTTTCCAGAGGCTTGATGGACCTGATCCACCGTCGAGGAGGCCCCCCTGGCTGAACATCAGAGCCCTGCACTCGAGATCAATCAACACTGACGAGGTAATCATTCTGTTTCATAAAAATTGATACATGTTAATGATTAAACTAGATAGAAGACATCGTGACGAATATTTTGAGAGAAGAAAAATTGAAATCGATGAAGTATTTTTAGAGATATTGAGCAAAATATTTTCACCCACAAAGTTTAATAGCGCCCACCCAATGGACCATTTTTTCTGCTCAGATTCTCGTGGCCCTATCGTCCTACGACTCCTGCGACGTTCAACCGAACTCCTCGAGAAGCATCCTGGTGGCGGCCCCCAACTGGCGCACGTAAGTCCCCCCAATTCGCCCGCAAAATTAAAAATCCAATTTAGCAGTGAAAACACGAGGGAAACGACCTGTCATCACTCGCGATGTATTTTTTTCACTCCAGTGACAAGTAACACGCGTTATTTTCCCTCTCTGTTTGTTTCTCACAGGTCTCCCTCGACATCTGGGTTAAGATAATATTAAGATAATACAGGCACAGCGAAACGCTCTAGAATTCCCATTTTTTCGCGCTTTGATCCTTTCAACCAGAAAAATTTCAGGCGTAAATCGACATTTCCAATTCTACGATTCTCGAAATACTCAAGAATCATATTGAATAAGATTTTAATCATAATTACAATTAAATTCCCTCTAGAACACACTTTAGAGTGTGAATTTCTGGAATTCAATGTTTGATCACACTGTTATCAATTTTTAGTTAGTTCGCACGGTAATTCAATTAATCTGTTGTTCATCTCATAGTATAATTCCGCGCTTAGAATATTGTCATCTCGTGTTTCTCAGCACCAAATGAAAAATTAAAACTTCATTTGGAATACTGAGTCACAGCTTCTTTTTATTCACATCAGAAATTTTGTATTTGGATATTAATATTATTTGTTCAAAGTGAAAAAATCGATCATCATTTTCACTATATTGCATTCAGATTCTCCTGTCCTCAACGTAAAAAATGTGAGATGATCTCATAATTCTAGCTATTAATTCTAATCAACTTTGTTCGACGAAAACCTCAGTAAACGCAATATTAAGAAAGTAGAATTATTCTATTTTCCTCTGACCTCAATTATTCGGACAATTATGATTCGTTTATTCATGTTTCATAGAATGGTATTCAATTCTCTTTCGTTCGAGATATTGTCCATGCTTTTTTTTAGAAAGAATAGTGATGGAAAAAAAGTAATGTCATTTTTTCTCGACTTCGTTTTTCCTACCACACCATCACACACTCGAAAAATCGGTCGTAAACAAAAATTCAATCTCCAATTTCACGCCTCTCGAAATACAACGAGTGTTTCGAGTCAAGCGGAGGAAATTTCCGCTGGAAAACACAGCGTGACATTCGTATTTAGATCGAGATATCAGAGACAAACGGGATCTCGTGAAAAATGTCTGTCGTATTCCGTGAATACAATAATAGAAAAATGGAAGATGAGAGCACCAGGGAAAATCGACGAAATTGATTGATTAAAAAAGTGACAAATGCTAGTGTAAACAGCTTGAGAAGAATGTCAAGCCTTCCGAAGCGGCGAATGTCAAGAGATACTGGAGCATTGCCAGCGAGATGTCTCATAAAACTTGATATCACCGAAACGTAGAAAAAGGCTCTGTTGGAGCGCAAAGTTGGATCAAGTGGACACTAGATGCATTCTCGATCGTCGATTGCCCGGGGATTATTCATTTGAGGCTAAATGCGGAGTATCCTTGGGTATTATTACATCTTCCAATGTCTCGGGACAATTTCTTGAAAATGTAAACGTGTTTTCAAGTGGAAAAAGTGCGCGGCGAGAGAAATCGCTAGGGGAATCCCCTCATCCAGTTGAAAATTCTAATTCCGTTGAAAGATGCACCGCACACGGCAATCAATTCGTTTCATTAGTCTGTTGTAGCTTTTTTGCTAATGAACTAGCGATAGGCGGACGAGTGGATGTACATTGCACTTCATTATTTTTATTTAACAAAAAATTGTTTTCATCCTCTTCACTTTTTCCCGTCCGGGGATTGGCACTGGCCCTTCCCCAAACTCGTAAAAGTGAAAATCACTACGGAAAAATATCGTCCGCGACTAGTGTCATGGGGTTCTTTTAGTCGTGTGGTTGGCAAGCCCTCGCCTTCGGCTCGGACGCCAACTCCACACGAGTAAAAAACCCCATGGGCACTCGTCCTGAAATATACTACACGGGGTGAAAAGTTGGATTAAAATTACCTAGAAAATCGTGGCCAATTTTACTGTACGAAAGGTAATCGTGGAGCGAAATGTAATTCAATGAAAAAATACCTGTTTGTGGAGGATATTTTACGATTCGTTTGGTAAAAAAAACATCTCTGGATGCAAAAATTATCCTCCAGTACCGTAAAATTTCCCACAGCAGTGGGGTATTTTTTTTCTTGCGGCCATCTGAAGGTCATGGGGACGAGTGGAAGTGAAATTTTACCGAACGCGTTCGGAAAAATTATACGCAATATTGAGCAATCATTCACGTTCACTGGGATAATTTTTGATGAAGTGCAGGGTAAATTTTACAGTTTCGGCACAAATTACCCTCACGTACAGTAAATTCTCCCGGGCCAATAAATTTCCAAATATTTAACAAAAAATGGTTTTCATCATTTGGATTTCAACTTCAATTCTCATGACGTTCTGTTCTAACGATTTGATATGGCCTATCAGATCATAATGAATGAGAAACAATTACTTTTTTCATTTTGGCACAAAATGATTGTTTTTCCCCGTAAAAAATGAAGAGTAGAGACTATATAAATCATTCCTGGCAATGTCCCAAATTACCGAGCCAAGCAGACGATGATTTTTCATCCGAAATGGGTGAGAATCGTTTTAAGAGGATTTAAACGTGTAGAACAAATAAACCCGATTGAATCGGTTACCATTAAGTGGTAATTAATCATGGGTAACTTGCATCGATGATTTGGAAGTGGCATCGATGACTCTGATGAGGAGATTGCGTGGAAATATCTCAGGAAATTGGAGGAGTGGTCGTTCACCTCGAGTTATTTCAGGATTAACGACCCGGAGAATTCTCCATTCTTCTTGTTTTCAATATTATGAGCTCTGGAAAAGTTAGCAGAGAGGATTATTGAGTTTCCCGGGTTATTGGTGGATGTGAAAACGTCGGGAATTTATTGTGATTAATCGACATTGAATTGAGAAAGTATTCTCCATTTTTCGGTGAAAGAATTTTCCGTTCCTAGGGCTAGAGACATTCTCCAGCACTTCCAGAACAGCAAGGACTTCCAGGCGGCTCCGTATAATCTTCTGAAGCACTCCCCAGCGGTGAAGTCCCTCCTCTGGTGAGTGAAAGTCCCCAGATAAATTTAAGAGGCCCCGAGAGTAAAAAAACTACTGAAATGCGGGGAAATGGGTTAAAAAATTTGTTCATTCTGTAGAAACCGGATGAAGCGAGTTGAGGGTGATCTGAAGAGGATAAATAATTTTAAGAAACGTTTGAAAATACGAGGTGGGAGCGCCGCCATCTTCAAACCGCCTCGTGGCAGAGGGAGGGGGTCCAAGCAAGATGGCGGCAGCCACACCTGTCGACCACCTCGTATTTTTGAACGTTTATTAAAATCTTTATCCTTTTCAGATCCACCTTCAACTCGTTTCATTCAGTTCCTAGAGAATGAACAAATTTTTCATGCTATCCTTCAGATTTTGTTATCCCCTTTTGGATGAGAATTCGTGGCGCCGAGTTTTCCCGGCATGTCAGTAGTTTTTTTACTCCCGAGACCGCTCAACAATATCCAATCGATGATTTTTAATTTATAATAGTTTTGGTACTGTGATATTTTGGGTGAGGCTGATTATTTTGGAATTTTCCCACTGAATTCAATCGACAAATTGATGATAAAAATCCCCAAATCTACAATACGAAACTGTAGAAGGAATTTGAATATCCTTAAACCATTTAGCGCCTTAATTGGTATCTCCACTCTCGAATCGTCAACATAATTGGTCGCCAGTTCTCTGGCACACGTCCCCCGAGACCGTCACATTGGAGCCCTCTAATTAGAGCCAAAATCGTCAGCAAGAATCACCCAAGGCCGACAGTTCAGTCTCTGCCAGAATTAAGCCAACAAAATTGAATTCCTTCTCAATTCCCCCTGATTTATCAATTTTTCTGTTCCCAGGGGGACATTGGTGATCTCTGGAAGTATGCTGGCACTGCTGATTCATCGGGCCATTCAGAAGCCGTCTGTTCCGTAGTAAAAATAAAGAAAACAACAAAAAAAACAAAGTTGCTCGTTTTTTTCCCCCTTTCAAACAATCAAAATGACGACTCGAACATCTTTTTAATAGAATTCATGTCTCTCGTGGGCGATTACGAGTTATTTTGGGTGTTGACATCGCAGACGATCGGGTATTTAACGTTCCAAAAAGTAAACAGATTGTTGGGGAAGACAACGGTTGCTGAAACAGTTGGGTTTTTCTCAAATGCTCGATCAATAAATTAAGAGGCCTCGGGAGTAAAAAAAAACCGGAGGATAGTTTGAAAAATTTGTTCATTCTCTAGGAACTCGATGAAACGATCTGGAGGTCATGTGAATATAATAAATAATCTCAATAAATCTTCAAAAATCCGAGGTGGTTGACATGTGTGGGCGCCGCCATCTTGCTTCGATACCTCCCCTCTCTCCCGAACCGTTTCGAAGATGGCGGCGCCCCCCACCTCGTATTTTCAAACATTTCTTAAATTATTTAGCCTCTTCAGATGGCGCTCAACTCACTCCCCTCAGTTTCTATAAAAAGGAACAATTTTTTTAAGCCATCGTTCAGATTTTTCCATCCCCTTTCGGCCGAGTTTTCCCCGCATTTCAGTAATTTTTTTCACTCCCGCGGCCTCTCAATCGGCTTGAACCATCCTCTTAGCTTTAACCTCTTGAATTCACCGACAATGCACTCAAAAAAAAAAATAGATGAAAGGAAAAGCCACCTGCCCCGGTGAACATCAGAGATGGTCCCACCGAAATCGCCCACACGAAAATTTCAGAGTTTATTTCTAGGACTCGTAGCCTTGGGTAGTGGCCAGAGAAAACTTTTGAAATATCGAGGAACTTGAGGAGTACTGCTGCTACTTCTTACCCTTGGCTGAGTTTTCTCGTCTCTTGGTGACACTGGAGATGATGTCGAGAGCATTGAGTTCACGATAATGCGAGTCAATATCACCAGGGCAAGAGTGAAAAGGGCGTAACTATACGAAAACCCCCTATTTTCGTAAAAATTCAGCAGAAGTGGAACTGCAAATTTTTTCGTTGAATTCATTAAAAAAAAATCAAGTCGAAAAGGCGTATGTCCTGGAGATATGACTATTTTCGTCTCGATCCTGAGGATGGAGCTCTCGGTTCCATGATCGTGAGAGATTTATCTTGCTTTCGACTCCTATCTACGATATTCCCGTCAAAATGACGAAGCCATCACGCGTCTGACGTCAGCGCGTGCATTTATTATAAAAATTTTCACGAACAACGTCATCCTTGAGACGAGTAGTCATCTTGTCACATTGGCTGTTGTGAGGCCTACGCTCTAGGCCAGGGGCTAGGCTAGTCTATTTTAACCGAAACAGCTTATGAACCAAAAATAGTACTTACCCACCTCTTCATCAGCTTCCGAACCCGTCAAAATACATATTTTTTTCATCGCCGCTTTGGCGATGAGGCGGGTGCAACTCGTGATTGTCTAATCAGCAGAAATTTATTGTCTACTTGGAGAAAATTTATGGCCTGAAGAAAAGTTGCATGACAATGACATGATTTGACGGGTAGACTTGACAGGTGGGGTGGTTCGGCAGATTTGACAAGTAGATTCGACAGACAGGCATAATAAATCACTTTGACAAGTAGATTTGACAGGTAAATTTCACAAGTAGATTCTATAGGCAGACATAATAAATAAATTTGGCAGGTAGATTTGACGGGTAGACTTGTCAGATATAATTGACTGTCAGACTAAATACATGGGCTTGACAGGTAGACCTTCAGATAGATTTTACGGGTAGACTTGGCAGGCAGATTTGATAGGCATACTTAATGGATAGCGTTGGAACGTAGGCCTGCCAGGTAGATTTTACGGGTAGACTTGGCAGATGAACAATAAGATAATAGATAGACTCGATAGGTAGATCTGGCAGGTAGGTTTTACGGGTAGATTTGACAGGTAGATATCGCGGACAGGCTTAATAGATAGGCTTGATAGGTAGGCCTGGCAGATAGATTTTTACAGGCAGGCTTAATGATAAGCTTGTTAGGTAGATCTGCCAGGTAGGTTTTACGGGTAGATTTGACAGGTAGATTTCGCGGACAGGCTTAATAGATAGGCTTGATAGGTAGGCCTGGCAGATAGATTTTGACAGGCAGGCTTAATAGATAAGCTTGTTAGGTAGATCTGCCAGGTAGACTTGACTTCCGGTAGAGTTCCAATCATACCGATCGCGGAGCATTTCTTAACCAATCAAAAAAAAATTTTACTAATCAAACTCAACAAAAATACGAAAGAGTTGCGAAAAAATGTTTACGATGACCTAGAGAATAAAAAGATAAGTCTATTTCCATTAGTTTTCAGCCAGGGAAAACGCCCGACAGGTGCCACATACACACTGGCTCGTGAACACGCAATTTTCATTGGTTTTTTTTTTGGCGGTAATCGCCGAATGGGCGTTTGGAACCCCAAAAATTCAACTGCTGGCCGGTGAAATATTGAAAATTAAGGTCCGCAACTGGGAGGGGGTAATTGTACAATAGCGACTGGGAGTTGAGACCCGGTATTTTAAGACCTTCTTCGGGGAGTGGGGGATGTGTTAAAACTCGTTTCATTGATTCCTACATGCGCTTGAGAAATGATAAAAAAATTGATATTAAAAAAAAAACATTTTTCCCCATTAATTTTTTCGTAATCTAAAAAAAAAGATTCAAGTGAAAAATTTTATTTTGAAATTTTTCTTCTAAGCCCCTGGGGCAAAACGGGTTGTTTAAAAAAATCTCAAGGTAAATTTTTTTTATCTTTTTGATGGATTTTTGAAATTTTCAGTGGGAGTTTTTAAGATGAAAAATCAATTTTTGTTGAAAAAAAATGGTTGAAATCATCGGATTTCGGTGCAACCCGGGCGGCAAGGTATTTAACGAGGTCACCACCTAGAAAATTACTCAAAAACGATTTTATCTGACACAAGTGTGTGGGTTTTTACCACCAGAAAATGCTACAATACCCTCTATTTCTGTTAACTCCGTGGCAACTGTGTTTTAAAACTATAGACCCGCATCCTTGGCACGACTCATCCACGTGAAGCTCCGAAGCTTATTAAAACACCTCCATTATGTAAGTGAAAAGTCCCCAGACGGGGCGAGACAGTGCAGCCGGGGCAGGCGAGAGCCCCGAGAGGAGGAGAAAAAAAAATGAAAAATGAAATTAAAAAAAACAATCCGGGAAGAGATGTAAAAATTCTGTTGTACGGTGAATAGGACGTTTTGGTTGATTTATCAAACGGAAATAATGGTCTCGGTCATGGTGGATGGACATCCGACTTTCCGAAGCGCTCGATGTCGACCTCGGGACCATCCTTCGAGACTTCTATTTTAGCGATCACGCATTTCGACATGATGAATGTGAATTTTCAGCGTTTTCCCTGAATATTTCGGCATTAAGTGACCGCGGGGAGGCATTGACAATTGCCAAGAGATGCTCTAGTGCATTTGGTGAATTATTTAAGACAATGAATTGATGGTAGTGATGGTTTTAATGAGCAAAATGACGAAATTCAATTCATTCTATTTTTTTTCTATTTTTTATACAATTTCTTATTATATTTTATTAAATATAATATATTCTATTCTTTACTATACTATTTTGATTCTTGATTTCCTTTTTTGTTTAAATAAAGAAATCAATTCAATTGGAGTCGATAATGAAAAAAAAACGGAGCGTTTCATTTTCATTCTCTAAAAATTCATCGAATGAAAAATTCGATTGACCCAATTGGTGAAATTAGTTGCGTGTTGAATGTCGCCTGAGAATCATCGGATTTAGTGGTGAAACCGTGCGTATCAGTCAGTGGTGTACGTCGCTGACAGAAGTTCAACTTTATCTTGTCACTGGGACAGTTAATTGTGCAGATGTCAGACTATATTTGGGAAGGTCTCGGGTATTTCTTGACCCACTTGGCCGATCATTCGACCTGGGGTCATTATTTTTAGTTGAATTATCCCTGAATCATCCCAGAATTAACCTCAGAGAGCTAGAAAAATAGAATTACAACTGGAGTAATCGAAATTTAGCTTCGATGTGTTTGAATTTCCCGCCGTTTGGACTGCGGAGGCTTTGCGGACGCGGAACGTCGACTTTACGCGCGTTGTGACGGGAAATTATATTCCATACTCGTTGGAGTTACGACGTTATGTTACTAGTGTGTGAACTTGCACTTTCCACATCTGTGCGGAGCGCGCAATATTTTTTTTCCATCGCGCCGCGTGTGAAGTTGCGTTTTCCGCATGCGGAAAATTTCCCTCCGCACGGATAGTAATAAAATTAGGGTTCAATACTCGCGGGAAAAGTATTTTTCGACTCTCGAAAATCAAAACGCGTTTTCCGCATTCATATCAAAATATTTTATTTTCGCACGCGGAACGTCCGGACTCCACGCGCGTGTGATTGACTAGTCTATTGCGCCGCGATTGCGTAAAGTTGCATTTTTCCGTCCGCACGCGTAGCGAATATTTTTGGTAACACTCGCCTGAACTATTACAATTCTACGGGGCGGTTAGCGTGCGGAAAGTGTTCTTTGTCCGCACCGCATGCGGAAATTCCAGACGTCCGGAGAGCAAACCACAGGCAAAACTCTCCGCATGCCGCCGACCCGCGTCGCACGCGCTGCGCCCCAAAATTATATCCATATTCATCCTTCGTAATGCTCTCATTGCAAACTTATATCGCAGTTTAATTTGGCGTTAATTTACTCCCCAAGGTGCGACAGATATGCGGATGACAGGGGTCATCCTGTCGCGATGACAGACGCCTGAACAATGCCGTTTGTGCCAATCAAATTGGCGGCCGCGGAAATTACATAAAATATCCCAGAAACTGTCCCGAATTCGTCGCAAATGATGTCATTCAAAATCTCTGACTCGATGCGACACGCGGGCCCCAATTCGGAAACGCGATTCACCAATTTTTTCTTTTCTTATCGACTATTGAAAAATTATTTTGATGAAGTGAGTACAAGTGGATCGCTGACAGACACAAGGTACCTGCGCATTCCGGTCAGCGGTGGTATCCAGAGGCCATCGGTCGCCGCTAATTGCCCGTGTCGTCGATACCATTTTTATATTCATCGTGAATTAAAATAGACGGGATTTCGTTGTGCAAATTTTTCATACACGTGTCTGCATATCGTCGCGCTTGGAATTTAAAGGGCGTAAGATTTTTTAAAATTTGCAATCGATGAATTCAACTTTTTTTTTCAAAGAAATTTTGAGAACAAATTGCGAGTGATGAAAGGGCGTATCTGCACATAATTTCGCTACTGGTGAATTCGATAATATAAAGGGCGTAAGTTCTTATGAGAATTTTTGGGGAGTTAAAATTTTCAGAAACAAAAAGACGCAGGTCCATATACCCAGCAGCTGCCAAATGCTATAGATTTATCAATCGATAAACCCGAAAAAAAAAATAAACGATGCACTTCTTGGCATCATCATCCACTCCCTTACGCCACAAGAGACCAAATGATGGTTATATTCCCCACAAAGGCCATTCTAATTTCGTACCGTCTCTCCTCCCCTGGGACTATTCCCCAGAAATAAATTCGAATTTCGCATTTTGATTTATCTACGGAAAATAAATTTCAATGGGCAATCAATCGGGACAATCTCACGTCCGGTGACATTTAAAATTCTGCCCAAAGAATTTCGCACTGAAATATTCAACTCTTCTTTTTTTCTATTACCTTTGTTTTATGCGCTCTTAGTCTTTCAACGGGCGAACGAGATTTATGGACTAGAGTGAGAAAACAAGTCTTGGGGGCTGATGAAGTGTCGTTTACCCATGTTGTAATGGTACATGAAAATAGAACATTGCCAGGTTGTTGGACACTTTTTTTTCCCCGTCACTCTTACTCTCTTATTTTTCTTTCTTCATGTCTTTCATCCAGTGTTTGGATTATGTCAACTCGGGGATATTCGCACCCTCGACATGAAAGGGAAAATATCTTTTCGTATTTTTCTTTCTTCTTAAAGAAAAGAAAAAAAAAACACAATCTTTTTTCTTTGAAATTCAGGAGATCCGCCCTTTTTTTATCACGGGTACTTGTCATCTGCATCAGGACATTCACCATCAAATTAAAAAAAATGACGGCCCGTTTTGCCCCGTCAGTTATTTCGCAATTGCGAAAAATAATTTTTTCCATTTTTTGCACAAACTAATGGGGCAAAATGGGCCGTATTTTTCATAAATTTATGGTAAATTTTGAGAACATTCTAGTAGGACAATTTTCAATTTCCCAGTCCCTCCTCTATATCAAGAACTTTGGAAGTGGGAGGAACGTAAATAGAACTGGATTAGCAGGAAATGGATTTCAATTTTTTTTTTCGTTAATTAGAATTTAAATTGACCGTTGCTCGTCTATTTTCACGTGAAAGCCGTGGTGTTTCGCTGAAAGTACATTGACCGGTACTTATAATGGTCCACCCGCTGACGAACATCCGAGTGGAGGAAATTCGTGAGAGGCGTGGGTGTAAAATAGAGAGACTTCAACGGTTTATCTGAGGAGTCGTTAATTCCAGGGTTTAAACAATTTCGAGAGGCAGTTGTCACAGCTGAAATGGTGAATTCAAGTCCATTATCAAGTCTCAATTTCAATTAATCAGTTGAAAATTCAGTGTTGACATGGAACACTATAAGAGATTCGCGATTTGTTAACTGCGTCATTATCTCGTTAATGAGCGGTTTTAGGGGGAAATACTATTCGACCTTTTTTGTAGATCTAGAAATTCTCTACAAAAAATGTTCTTTTATGTTTTTTGATACAATCACTCGTTATGGAAATAATCAACTTTGAAGTTTGACATTGGTTCAATCGAGCCATTTTTGTTGATTGCTTAATTATCGCGGTAATTAATGATTTTAGGAGGAAATATCATTAAACCTTTTTTATAGCTGAGGAAACTCTCCACAAAAATACTTTCCTGACATTTTTCCCTAAAACGGACGGTTATCGAGATCATTACCTCTGAAACTTGAAATTATGTAAATTCAATCTAGGCAATTTTGGTAATGATGCAATTATATAATTAATGCGTCAGTTTAGAGAAAAACACTATTTGAACTTTTTGCAGACCAGAAAATTCTCTGTAAAAATGTTTTATGAAATTTTTTGATCAAATCGCTCGTGATTAAGATATTTCTATATTTCACAAGACATAAAAATCGATCTGGCTTCCACCTCCGCCGATATTCATATTTTTACATTCAATTAATCGCATGTACGTGCTAATGACGTCTTTGGACAATTGCCCATACTCCTTTGTCGCAACCATCACGTATCATTTAATCGCCCCCTACGAAATTAATTTTCCCGACGAAATATATATATTTTTAATCTTTGAATTAATTAGCAATGCCAAATGAGGAATGAATAGTTATATTGCGGTACCCAGTGATGCTTAAAATTTTTCATCGTCTCACAACAACGGATATTAGAATAATAACGGACATTGCATCAATTAAATCCATCGTTAATCAACGGTGAACCTTTAATTACGTTTTATTCCCAATTAATCCAATTTTTCCGCGTTAAAACGCGACTTTGGCGTCCGTTGATGTCTTCCACACGTGTTCCCGCCGATAAGTGCATCCAACATGGCGATAGTGACTGGCAGGATGCGGGGGACGCGGGCGGCGCGCGCAGCTCCTTTGTTCGAGAGAGCCCGCATAGCGGATTCGCATGGGTCGGACAGCAACAGACGCCCCAGGAGTATTTTAATATCCAAAATGCCTTAATTCCTGAGAGTGACAGGTCATAACATTTCGACTGATGATTGATGACTCAATAAGGGTCGCTAATTACCTAAATGCGCGGGCGTCTTAGGGCTTGGAGGGGCGGGGATCAACATCAGCGACACAAGACGCTCGAGGAGTCGAAGGTAATGATGACATTCTAATTGTTTCATAATTAATTTCGCAATTAGCGTTATCATGGGGGATTGTCACATCATCAAATTGAATAAATTACGAAAATTAATGAATTCAAAGGCATTTTCTCAAGTGATTGAACAAAAAATCGAGTGAAGAAACGAATTGTACAGAAAATTAACTAGGAGAGGAGGAAATGGACTACAAAATCTAGAATTTTTTGAAAAAAAAAATTGTTTGGTTCTTCGGCGATCAACAGATTCTCCTGTCCCTCTCATAATCCACTCGGTATACCTGAAGCCTGGGTGTCTGGCTGACCGCCAGCCCTCCCCTTTTTCAAAAGTTTCCCTCCGCCGTTTTTATTTCCCACTCACCTTCAAATTTTGTCCACCAGAGTGCGACATCACCGCCTATTTAACCGAATACCATCGTAGCCCGTCGCCCCGTTTCGCCCAGCAGCGCAGGCGTTGCCGTACCACAAATTTAAACCGATCCGTTTTAAAAATCAGTAATCTATCATCAAAATGTCCACCGAATTCTAGTGATACCACCAAATAGAAAGATTAAGTGACAATTTTTTAATTTAATCGGTAAGTTATTCCCTAAAATTTGTGACCAGTGATTCCATGAAAAAAAAAAAAGTCAATTGGAAATAGTGAAAATACGTAGTGGATGCCACTCTCATTATTGGATTGAACTGTCTTCGGTGGAATTTGGCGTTTTGTGAACAAAACAGTGTACTTTATTTTTTTCCTATCGCGGATTTTGGCTTTCGCATTTTCTCGTGGCCTAGACCGCACTCTTGACGATTATAACTCTGACCTACACACTCCAGCCAAGAGTTTTCATATTTGTAAGGTCAAGCGAGAGTGATGAGTGATTTTCTGGGTGATATTAATCGTTTCAAAATTTTTACAATTGAAAAAAAATCGGAAAAACAATGAAAAAAATTTTTTTATTGCAATTTCAAGAATTAAAAAATTCTATTTACCCCAGATTCCAATAAAATTGGAGCGAAAAAACGGGAGAATGAAAGAATAATTTCTGTCAAGTTTGACAACAATTGGAAAAAAATTCTAGTGGAGAAAAAACGTCACAAAATCTCTCCGAAATCCCTCAAATAATTTTTCTTCTGAGAAAAAACTAAAAATAAAAAATCTGAAAATCTGAAAAATAAATGTCTAAACGTATGAAAAAATTACGCCATATTTTCATCTCTAAAAAAATCGAAAAATTGCAAAAGAAATTTTTTTTGTTTGTGTGCAAGTGTCGGGGATTTTGGCAGTCATCCCTTGCCAAAATAATTAGGAAGCCATCGGGGATGTGCTAAATGCGTCCGCAGCGGGCACGCGCGAAGGCTAGTCGGCTCCCGGGAGTTTTCCGAGCCAGTTACAATATTTTTTTCTCCCCCAACAAATTTTCCAAAGTGTCAATTTAATTAATTTTAAACATCGCAATAAACTGATTGATCAGATTGCGAGGCCACCGCGGTGGGGCCTCCTGGGGGCTCTCGCACCCGTTCTCCTCCTTCTTTGGATCCAAATACTGAGATTAATTCTCATAATTTACCCCAAATTGCTAAATCGTTACGTAAGTCTGTCATTTTCTCGAGAAATCCCCTTGAAAATTTTACGGTTTCCGCAGTAAAAAATAAAATTGTGTCTTTAGATTTATTTTCGAAGCCGCCAAATCCCCCATTAATTAATCCTAGAACATGGTGATGGCCTCCCACGTGTCCCACTCCCCTCGCAAGATCCCCAAAACAAAAATAAAGTGGAAATAATAACGGAACATTAACAAAATTCAAACACTAGAGAAAAAATCATTACATAATCACGACTCACAATACGTCAAACACCGAGTGTATTCGAACATCTTAAAATACGCGCCAAGGAAATAGCCCATCATCAGTCCTACCCAATCTGAAAATAGAAATAACCCGTTTCAAGTGCGTCACCGAGACAGCTACAAGGGAAATATAATTCCCCTGTGCCCTCCAATCGCGTCAATCCATATGACCGTTTCTCCCTCAATTTTAGGAGCCATTTTTCGGTGTTCAGGGGGCCTAGCCCCCCTGCGGCCCCCTGCCCCGCTCAGATTCTACTGACCCCTTCGTGGAGTGACAAAAGATCTAAATTCGTGAAAAAAAAATTTTTTACAATTAAAAAACGGGAAAAACTTGAAATTAATTTTGAATTGCCGTCTTCCTCCCGCGTTTTTACGGCTTGCCTGGACCAATGACGCTCGTACACCCCCTAACACCCCGTCTCCCCTCCCGAAACCCTAAGAAACTAAAACCCTCGAGATACAATAATAAAACCTATTTTTTAATTTCAAAAAATTGGGAAAACTCAAAATTAATTTTGAATTCTGATTTCTTCCCGCGTTTGCGCTCCCCCCTAAACCCTATCGCCCCTTCCCAAAAACCCCCTCGCCACTTTCCTTCCCCAAAAACCCCCCTAAAAAACCCCCCACCTTTAAACCTCGAAAAACCCCGAAACAAATTCAACATTCTCCCCTTTCCCGCCCTTTCCCCACTTACGCGACGCAACTCCGTCTCCAAGGGAATTAATTCCGCTGTATCCTCCAATGGCCTTCGTCCACATGCTCCTTTTCCCTCGGTTTCATCCGGCCGCATCTGGCGTCCCGCGGGCTCCCACGCCCCCCTATCGC